TATCTAGTCATAACAAATGCCTTTTTATACCTTACTCCATTTTATTTTCAATACTTTCATGTTTCAACATTTTTTTCTCCGTTATTTATTTAATTTTTCGTCATCATTTTATTCTATTGCCTTGCATGCTGTAACAGTTTTTCCAGCTGTCAGATTCAAACTTTTTAAAGAATGATAAAAAAAGTTGAAGAGTGACACAACTTTGTGGTCTCTGTCAAATAATATGAGATCCTAAAGTTAAATAAAGCCTAGTTCTATTGTCAAATTTGAAAAATGTTATTATTTAATAGTTTTATTATTTATTTAATTTTTTTTTATTAAATTTCCAGTTAATAATATGCTCTAATGAACAATATTCATTATATTGGCAAAAGAAAAAAGTTATTATGCTGATATTAGCCATAAACACAACATTTCTTTTGTTCTTTATTGGCTGGCACTAATTAACACCGTACTTTCAGCATTTTATTATGAAGGAAAACAATGGGATTGAATTGAAAACCGTCATGTTGCAATTTGAAACTGACGTTTTCACGTAATTATTGACTGAATAATTCAAATTTTACATAATAATAACCAACTAGTCGAAATCATTAAAAAATAATTTTAAATAAAAATGTAAACATTTACTTAATTTTTCATGATTACCTAATTTGAATACTTAACAAACGATTCATGTCAGAATGATAATTATCTCTAAAATCTGACACTAATGATAATTTTAAAGGACTCAATAAACCGGTCACTTTATCATTATACAACTTTATATTCAAATTGAAAATGGCTTCAATTTCATAATTATGAGCTATTAATAAGCGAATAAAAATTGGTTACACCCAATCTTCCAATAAAGAAGTGAAACTAATAAAAACAAGACGTATATTAATCTTGTATTTGTATGATTATTGAAGAAAAAGTGAATTTTATCATCAGACATATAAGAGATAAACTAGATGTTAGTAAAACTTTTGAAATAACAATTTATTTACGATGTCCATTTCTGTAGGTCTAACAATGGATAGATAGATTGTAAATTGACTTTTTAGTGCCAGCCAAAAGAATTAGTTACAAAGTGCATAATATTACCACATATGTTGGTATATATAAACAAACAAATTCTTATATTGAATCATTACTTCTACAGTGAATTGAAAGCATATAGGACTTTTAGAAATTTTGTAAAATTGAAATTATAAAAAATAACTTGTCAGTAGTTTTTAGTAGTTGAGATTAAATTGTATTATAGACTTGAATACGTTTGAGAATTTGCGTCTAGTGATTTGAAATAAAAATGATTGGGCTAAAGTTTATTGTTAATTTCCAAAAAATAATAGATTTGTGCTCAACAGCTGCTGAACACCAACAATTATATTATTCCTTTCAAGGCACAATGAAGTTCGAAGCGGAAAAATTAACTTTTCAAATGGAATCACCAGGGCAGAAAAAGTTTTTAAAATTCTCTCCTTGTGTTGGATGGTTACCAGCCCGACTTAATTCTTCATTTAAATCTGAAGAAGAAGATATTAGTCCAAGGAGTGTCACAGAATATCCTATAATAATTCATCAGATGAAGCGCATTCCAAAAAGTGAAAACAAATCAAAATCTCGCAAACGTTTAAAAATATTTTGTACAGATGATGAAGAAGATTGCGCAACATTAAAATCATCAAAAGAAAAATATTTGTTCTCGTCAAACAAAAAACATAAACATGACACTACAAACAACTCGAGAGACTCGGAGCAATCAGAACAAATAATTCTAACACATGCAGGAGACATCGTTTCAGAGGAAAGTATTTCAATCAATACAGAGTCGATCAATTTGATGCCAGCACTAACTAATGGAGAAAAATCAAGTTCGCCTAATGGTGAAAAACTGATCTCGCCAGAAACAAACAAGAAGCCATCCGACCGAAGAACTAGAAGAGTTTATAACGACCATGAAACAGAAATACTTGAAAACGCTTTTCAAAATTCCAATGGATATCCAGGAAAGTCGGTTATTCTACACATCTGCAAGATTCTGGATGTAGATGAAGAAAGGATCAGAAATTGGTTTCAGAACAGACGAGCTAAGTGTAAGAAACCCGCAAAAGCAGCTCCAAAATCTCCATTCAAATTGGTACCTATTGCACCGGCATCTATTGGAATAATGAACAACGTTAATTTTATTCAGAATCCTTATCTCCTCCAGATGCCAAGTTTCAAGAATGAACCTACAGATTTCAATTATGCTCCGTGGATCTCCTAATATTTTTTCATTCCATCTTTTTAATTGAAATTTAAGTGAATTCTTCATGTTTGTTGTCATTTTATTTATGTATATATTTTCTTTCTTGAAAATAAAAAATATATAAATTAGTTATTGTCACTTAGAAAATGTTATTATTACGTGCACCGATCTCAGATCATGATTCATCAATTTATTTATCATCGTTTTGGCTTTTGTTTTATATGATTTCCTGTTTATATTCAGTTCAATTCTGTGGTCACAGTTTTTGCCAATTTCATCTGATACACTGATATATATTGTTATATTGCTCGTTGTTCACCATTCTACGACGGTTACCCAACGAGCGTCATGGTTTGTTCTTGGGAAAATTCTTTCTGTTTCTGTGAACTCGCTCGCTCAACGTTAAAAAACTTGAAATTGTTCATGAAATAATAATAGATGATTTTAATTGGGGACTTACGTGTGTTTAGCATTATAGTTTAAAATGTTTTAAAGTTTAATAATCGAAATAGGACGAGAAACGACTCACATATTATTTTTAATATTATTTTTTTTATTACAATTGTTATTAAATATTTTTTATCTAACAAAATAACAAGCTTAAACTGTAAAATGTAAAGGGAATAATGATAATGTGAATAATGTGAAACTTGTAAAAGTGTGTAAGTAGCGATCAAGAGTGTTAAAGAGTTTAAGAAGTATGTTAAGTCTGTTTTCTAACCAGTCAGTCCCTATTATATGTCAACTATATATATGCTCTGATTAATTATACGTTATATTATATTATATTAAGCGACTTTATGTCTGAAATTTGAAGTCTCGTCGTGAACCTCTTTTAAAACTTAACTATCATTAAAATTGCTTACCTTTTTCAACATATATCTATATGTAACACATACTTACTTATACCTCCTAACCTAAATTATCATCTTTACATCATCACGTTCTGTTAAGATAATTCAGAAAAAATTTTCAGACGGCCCAGAAAGTCACATTGGCATGAATTTCTGCGTGTTCGTGTAGAAGCAGTTATTTGTCGATGTCATGTGTTGATTAAAGTTGAGACTTGTGACGCCAATGCTCGGCGCGGCTGGTAGACTAGAAAGATAACGAGTCAAAATTCAGAGATTTTTTATTCAGTCGGTTTAACATTTTGTTTTTCCAGTCCTTTTTTTAAATTAATTTTTCGCTTAATCTTCGCAAATGTTTGTCTTTAGAGAGTAGTGAAATAGTAGGCTAAATGTAATTAAGGTAGGTTATCTGTAATTGCTTCTGTTCAAGAACGCCATGAAATTTTTAATTTTTATTCAAAAATTTTGTACAAAATTATTTTAATTTGTTCTTTTTTGATAGGTAGCAAAAGCATATAAAAAATTAAAATAAATCAATTTAAAAAGACGGAATGAAAAAAATGATAAGAAGCAATGGGGGAACATAACTTAGCATCCGAGGGTAATAAATATTCTGAATAGAATTAACGTTTTTCATTAAGTGCCGATGGAATCGGTTTTAGTTTGAATGTAAATTTTGGAGATTTTCGCGGGTTTTTTACATTTAGCTCGTCTGTTTTGAAATTAACTTTTGATCCTTTTATCATCTTGCAGATGATTAGAATGACCGATTTTTCTAGATAACCATTGGAATTTTGAAAATCATGTTCAAGTATTTTTGTTTCATTGTCGTTATAAACTCTTCTAGATCTTCGGTCGGATGGCTTCTTGTCCGATATGGCGAGATCAGGTTTTCATCATTAGGCAAACTTGATTTTTCTTCTTTAGTTAGTGTTGAGGTCAAATTTATCGCTGCAGTATTGGCTGAAATACTTTCCTCTAAAATCTTGTCTCCTGCATGTGTAGGAATTATTTGTTCTGATTGTGACTGACGATTCTCTTGTGCTGTTTGGGATGTCCTGTTTCGTTTTCGTTTCAACATAATTGTTTTTCTTCTAGCGGTTTCTTTTAAATCGATATAACATTAAAATTTTCAACGATAGACATGAAAATCAGATTTTCAAGCGAACTTTTAAAGCACTAAAGTTTAAATTAATTCTTACTATAAAAAATCCAAATTTATTTTTTGTTTGGTTGATGATATCTTTTTTTAGATAATTTTATTAACGAAAAATTCATCACACGCAAATGTTGAATATGATCAATTTTAGTCTTCGTGTTTTTGTAACCAAAATAAAATTCGCAGTCTTCTAATGAATGATGTGATAATTTAAAAATGAATAGTTAAAATAATTACTTGAATAAATAAATTAAATAATTTTTTAGAATATATAATTAAATTATTTTATTGAATGAATAACTAAACAAATTAATTAAAAATAATGAATTAACGTCAAAATTTTCATACCAACGGCCAGAAAATATTCTAATGCACTGGACAGTACGTTTAATTATACATTTTCTAAATTATTTGAATTTTTCATTCAATAAATATTTTAAATTATTCATTTTCTCAAATTTAAAAATCAATCATTCAACTTATTAACAAAGCTACAGAGTTTTAATTGAAGAGTGACACAACAGATGAAATCTAACTTATGGATATAATATGATTTAATTTTCTGATTTCTGTGAAGTTTAACTACGCCTAATTTTAATTTCAAATAAAAATTTTTTTAATATTATTTAATTTTTTCACCTTTATATTAAACTACCAGTAACAACAATGCTCCAATATACAATACATTATTCATTTTAATGGCAAAAGAAAAAATTTTATAACGTGCAACAATTCTTTTGTTTGTTATTAGCACCAATTAACACCTTACTTCTAGCAAATGGGCGATTGAAATGAAGTTAACATGAATTCCTATGTCGTTAATTATCAAACAAAGCATCGTGATGTTAATACAAATAAAGCAATTAAAATTCTTGGGAGTCATTTTAGATTCCAAATAAACTTTTCGATCATATGTACAAAATATTTGTGCTAAAATGGCAAAAACAATTAGTATGCTAAACAAGATCAAAAATTCTACATACAAAAATTGTACTGAACATAATCTACAAATCAATCTGTGCTCCGTACATCACATAATGCAACATGGAATAGGCAGGCACCTACAAAGGCATTCACCAATCCGATAAACTTAATGGAAAGATGCCATGCGTACAACAACGTTATCAAGGAGTCAAACTCACGGTCAACAATTATTTGTGACACAAGGACTTCACGCATGTTTTTCGTTGTTGACCGCGATCTCTTTTACCTGCAATCTTTCCAGTATTTGTTAGATTTTCTATTCTTTCCTTTCGCATGATGTGACCAAAAAACTTTAACTGCCCCCGCTGGATTATCTGTAGTAATTTCCTCTTTAATAACAGGACTGTTTTAATACATCCTCATTTGAAGTTTCATAATTCTTCTCAAAAACCATCTTTCAGTAGCGTTAATCTTTTTTTCATTTCTTTAGAAATTGTCCAGGACTTAGAACCGTAAGTTAGCACAAGAAAAATGTAGCTTCCTAATAGTTTTAATATTGTTGATATTTTGATTATACTGTTGGTGAGGATGTCCCTGGATATCCATTAGAATTTTGAAAAGCATTTTTAAGTTTTTCTGTAAATGTTTTTATTACTTCAGTCAAATGGTTTTTTTCTGTTTCTAACAAGATTAGATACACATCATTAAGGTATGATGATTTTTCTTTTTTAGTCGGTGCCGAGGTCTAATTCATCGCTTCTATATTTGTTGAGATACTTTCCTTTAAAATGTTGTCTTCTACATGTGTTGGAATTATATTGTTATAATACTCGCTGTCGTAACCGATTTACGATGCGACGGGTTCAAATCTTCGATTGAATAAAATACTCCAAACAGTTATTAATTATTAAACTTTATTTACAGAAGAAATCAACTAATCGTTTATTTCCAGCAAATTCAAACTAACGCAACAATTAACTTTTAAATTGTTCAAAATCTATCGCTATGACAACGTCAACAAACAAATCAAATATCGCTTTAAATAATTCACCGAATCGCTATTCACAAAATCACAAAATCACGAATTTCACTAATCACGGATTTCACTAATCACGACTTTTACTAATCTTCTTGCGACGTGCGCTTATATACTCTTCGCAAGCGTCGTTTCTAGATTCTTCTCGATGGTCCGATTCTAGCATACTCTAGAATGCTCCAGTCACTAGAACATTCTAGAATACGCTAGAATCTAGTGCGTTCGGTAGCACGGTTATAACAATATGTTCCGATTGGGCAGATACTCTTGTAGTGTCTTATTATCGTTTTTTGCTTGACTACTATAATTCTTTTTCTTCTGGTTGCCTCTGCTTCCTTGCTTCTGAAAATTAAAAAAAATTATAGTTTTTAACGATAGACTTGAAAATCAGTTTCAACAGGACAATTAACACATTAAAGTGCAAATAATTCTATTTATAAAAAAACCCTTATTCATTACTATGTAGATTGAACAATTTAGATAATATTCTTTACAAAATATTCATTACATCTAAATTTTTTTACTCATTCTTTTATTTGCAAAAAAGCTGGTGACCCGAAACAGAGCTTATTGGACTTCCATAACAGAAAATTAAAAAAATAAAAGTCAAACATATATTGTTCATATAATAAATGTAACTAAAAATATTATTAAACCAATAAAATATCTTTAACCAATTAGATGAAACCAGAATATAAAATGAATAATTACAAATACGAAAAATAATCGGTAATAACTAAGAGAACAAGTTTTTATTTTAAATTAGTTAAAGTCGATGATAAAACTGATATTTAACAATGCCCATAGTTTAACACCATAAACAAATATATTGATAGAATGTAAAAATAAACAGTACGAAATGGTCAAATATAAAATTCTGCAGTATGTCTTGTTTTTATTTAACAACAAACGATGTTTTTAAATGATTGTTATGAAAATACGTAAACATACTTAAATTAATCATTTTGTAACAATATTGTAAAATTATATATATATATATATATATATATATATATATATATATGTGTGTGTGTGTGTGTGTGTGTGTGTGTGTGTGTGTGTGTGTGTGTGTGTGTGTATAATATGCTTTTTCCAGCTCACGTTGCGGAAACTACTACACCAACAACGTAAAAATGTTACATTTGGTATTAAAACGCTATTTAAATAAAATTTAATATTGTGTAAAATTTTAACAAATTTTTACCAAGCAGCATACATCTCTTTTTTGAAGTGTTAATGTTTAGACCATTTGCAAACATCCATGAAGAAACATTTTCTAACTCCAAGTTTATTTTATCAACTTAATTTGTTAGTGATTTTCCAGTTACTAAAATTATTTTGTCATCTGCATACAATATAAATTTTAACATTTTAGATGATGCAGTCAAGTCGTTAATGAACAAATTAAATAATAAGGACCCAATGATTGTTTCTTGCAGTACGCCATTTCCAAAAAAAAAATACTTAGTCGTGTCGATGATTTTCACAACCTCTTGCCATAAATCTAAAACTAACTATTCAGTTGAGTTTTTTGCAAAACCCGCACTGATTTTAATAAATCATATTGTTATTGTTGAAAAAATTTGTTAAACGTATATGAACTAACTTTTCAATAACTTTAGAAAAAGTGGATTCTGAAGAGATCGGTCGTAGTTTGATAAATTACCACAAGAGGACTATTTTTATACAATGGAAAAACCTTTGTTATTTTCAAACAATCAGAAAATACGCCCTAATTCAACGAGATATTAATGCAGTATGTCTGTGGTTTGAGTAGTGAGAACATTGTTTCTTTAATCAAAAAGTATGACAAAAAATCGTCCGCTTGAAGAGAGGAATTATTTAAGTTAATGATTTTTTTCTGATCTCATCTTTTTGAACTTCCTCCATTGAAAAACTATTTGGGTTTGAAATCGGTAGAAATTTATGAAAATTTTTAGAAACGATCTGATTTTTTAAAATACAGTGTGTTGTGAATGTTTTATTGTAAGCTTCACATATTTTTGACTTGTCATCTGTCAATCCGTCACTAGTTTGAATCAACTTTGGAAATTTGCTTCATTTACTTTTGTTAATGGATTGGTTAATTAGTGGCCAGGTAAGTTTTGAGTTATTTTTGTCTTTATCCAATTTTTTTGTGATAAAAATATTTTTGCCAATATTTAATATAATCAATTTTTTTGTCTTCGTTTGTTCTGTAGCCAAAAAAAAATTGCGGTATTCTGAAGAATGATGTGATAATTTAATAAATGAACAGTTAAAATAATTTAATGAATCAATATTTGATAATTAATAATTCAAAAAACGTATTAGTGAAATAATTGAGTGAATAAATAGTAAACAATTTAATTAAAAATAAAGAATTAACGGCAGAATTATGATACGAAGGATTACGTAACTGACAGAAATTATTTTATTGCACCGACCATAAATGTCTCGACGTAGTAACAGCCTCTATGTAGATACGAAAATTTTAATACACGCACATCATAGCTTGAGCATAGTAGGCCCTGCATTAAGCTATCGCTTTTTTGAATGAATGACCTTTGTTCCAATCAAACATTCCAAATTTGTTCACTCCACTTTAACCAATTCGATTTCGTAACATGTTTTAGTGATTAGTATAAAGGATAATTGAACAGAACTGTGGGGATTGCCAGTACGGTTATCGAGAGGCAAAAAAGAAAGTTAAAAGAAGATGCAGAAGATACCATCCAAATTTTAGAATGCACTTTCATATTTGTCTACTCCAACGCAACAACCTTGATTGACAACAAAATTTTCATCAGCTAGTCGTTGCGTATGAGATATTAAAAGGGCAAAAAAAAGCAGCTAAAGAGTTCCTAAAAACTGATTTTTTAAATAATTGTGGATTGAATGATCTAGAACAACGTTTATCTGAATAAATCACTTTCACCTCAGAATTTGAATTTAAATTGATGATCATTTTTTTGATTTTATCAACGATCAACGAAAAATTTTCACAACACTTGTAAATAATTATAAACAAAATGACATTTTGTTAGTTGAAGACATGTTTTGTTTTATTAATCATAACATCAAAGAAATGATCTGTAAACGTTTTTATAACTGCATCTGTAAAAATTTGTTAAAAATATTGATGACAGTGTAAATATTGAAAATGAATTTAATAAAAACAATAAACTAAAAAAAATTAAAAAGTAAAAAAAATATTTTCATTTTATTTATTTTTATTTCATGATTTTTTGAATATAAAAAAATTTATTATTGAAACAGTTTCCTTGTTTATTTTAAATAAAATAAAAACAAAAGTATATAATTGCACTGCATAACAAGATTCTTAGGCACACAACACAAAAGCCTTCTAACCAACATGAGCGTTTAAATGTTTCGTATCTAGATGCTACGTCGAGACATCTATAGTACGGACCAAATAAAGTAGACTTATTAACAAAGCCACAAAGGATTAATTAAAGAGTGACACAACTTATGAAATCTAACTTTGTGATTTGTGAAGTTAAACTACGCTTGATTCTAACTTCAAACAAAAAAAATGTATTGTTTATTTTGTTTATTTCATTTTTATACTCAATTTTCATGTAAAGATATATCCAATAAACTTTATTCATCTGATTGCTAAAGTAAAAATTAGTTAGCGTGATTATATTGTGGTAATAATGCCAATAACGCAACTATTCTGTTGTTTTTTGGTGGCACCAAATAACATCTTACTTTCAACAATTAAATTATATATGATTAATTATGAATGGAAGCAATGTGATTAAAAAGCAAACTGATATATAGCAATGATTAAATGATTCGTATTTTTTATAATAATAACAGCAAACTATTTGAAATAATTAATTAAAAAATAATTTAAAGTTTTTGAATGAAAACGTCAACGTTCACTTAGGTTTTTAACATTACCTAATTTAAATACTAGAAATTACTTTAAAACTGGTTCATATAAGATTGATAATAATCTCTAAACTGCCACTAATTTTAAAAGATTCCATAAACCGGTCACATCATCATTATACGGTCTTATATTCAAATTGAAACTGGTTTCAATTTAACAACTAAGAACTATTAATTGCCAATAAAAACTCAACAAAGCAAATCATAATTGGTGGCACTCAATCTTTCCGATAAGGCTGTAAACCAATCATGAAAAAAATGTTTATCAATAATAAACTTCTTTGATAAAATTAAATCACATTTAATTTTATCATCAGACAAATCACAAATTAACTAATTAATACTACCATTATTAAAATAATAATTTATTTACAATATGCAATTTTGTACGTCTAACATTTGATAGATTGTAAATTGACTTTATAGTGCCAGCCAATATAATTAGTAACAAAATGCATAAGTTTACTACATTCCGTGGTATATAATAGACGATCAAGTTAATATTCTGAATAGCTCGTTCTATAGTGAATTGAAGTTATATTGGATTTATTGAAATATTCTTTGATTGAAATTAATCAGTATTTGACAAAATTTTTTGAAATATAAATTATTGAGAATTACAAGAATTTTCTGAAATTTCGATTGATTCGTATTAAAATCCAGAATACGTTTGTAAATTTGCGTCTAGTGAATTTAAATCAAAATGATTGGGTTGAAGTATAGTGCTATTGATTTCAAAAAAATTAAGGACTTGTGCTCAACAGCTAGTGAACACCAACAACTAGATTATCCCTTACAAGGCACAATGATATTTGAAACGGAAAAATTATTCTCTCATACGGAAGGATCAGGGCAGAAAAATTTATTACAATTCTCTTCTTGTGTTGGCCGTCTGAATTCTTCACTTGAATCTGAAGAAGATTCTAGTCCAAACAGTGTCTCAGAATTTCCTATGATAATTCATCAGATGAAATCGATTTCTAAAAGTGAAAACAAATCAAGATCTCGCAAACGTTTAAAAATGTCTTGTACAGATGATGAAAAAGATTGCGCAACATTAAAATCAATGGAAGAAAAAAAAATATTATGGTCAAACAAAAAACAAAAACAGGACACTTCAAACAACACAAAAGATTCAGTGCAATTAGAACAAATAATTCCTACACATGCAGAAGACAATTCAATCAACACAAAAACAATAAATTTGACCTCGGCATCAACTAAAAAAAAAAAATCATATTCGCCTAATGATGAAAAACTGATCTCACCAGAAGCGGACAAGAAGCCATCCGACCGAAGATGTAGAAGATTTTACAACGACCAAGAAACAGAAATACTTGAAAATGCTTTTCAAAAATCTAATGGATATCCAGAAAAATCGTTGATTCTACACATCTGCAAGATTCTGGATGTAGATGAAGAAAGGATCAGAAATTGGTTTCAGAACAGACGAGCTAAATGTAAAAAACCCGCGAAAGTAGCTCCAAAATCTCCATTCAAATTGATACTTATTGCACCAGTACCTAATGGAATAATGAACAACGTTTATTCTATCCAGAATCCTTATCTCCTACAGATACCAAATTCCATGAACGAACCAACAGTTTTCAGTTACACTCCGAGGATCTCATAATATTTTTTTCATTTCTTCTTTTTTAATTTAAATTTTATTTAAGTTATTAATATTTTTTCCTTTTTATTTCTGTTTAATGTACATAAATTTTCTTTTCAGATAAAACGAGTAAAAAATTGTCAATAACTGTGCTTGGAAAAAAATAAAATTTTTGTCTTCTTGAAGAAATTGTATCTGTGATTTCTTAATCCTTTCCATTTTCTAGTTGAAAGAAACTTGTAAACGGTGTTTCTTCTTTCCAGTTATTAACTTATATGTCTGAATCAGATCTCCTCTGCATCTTCTTTTTTTCTATGTTGTTAATCCGCATTCATTCAGTCTCAGTCTATATTCAAGTTTTCTAACTCCCTCGATCATCTTTGTTGCCCTACGCTGTACCAGTTCAAGAATGTCTTTTGCAGATCTGGACTCCAAACCTGTGAATAGTACTCGAGATGAGGGCTAACTAATATTTTATACAAGTTTATAATGATTAACTTCTCTCTGCTCAACATTATAGCACAATATTCATTTCAAGTTAGTATTTAAATAATGAATACTAACATTTGCGATTATTATGATAATGTATTAAATAACAAATTGCGTAATATGTCTAATTAAAGTTGCTTTATTTATACTTTTAAACACACACACACACGCACACACACAATGTGTGTGTGTGTGTGTGTATGTGTGTGTCTGTGTACCTGTAAGTATGTGTGTGCGTGTGTGTGTAAAAAGGAGATCTTATACAATATTTGACCAAGTGAAATTTGTATCACCTGCATAAACGCAAATCATTGAGTTCAACATTGTTCTAAATTTTTTCCCACTGAATAGTAATACAGTGCATTAAGCTGCCTTAGAAATTAAAAAGTTATCTGAGTTTCGTTTATCAAAAAAGTTTAATAGACATTTTAACGGAGCTGGTAATGTCTAAAAAATTATCAAATACAAATCACTTGACCAAACCATTAAAACCGTCCGGAAAAGATAAATTAATTACAAATTGCAGTAACTACTTCATGAGCGTCATGCCTTGGTGAGACCAGCAGAGCAGTGAACGACCCACAGAAAACCAATACGACGAATACAGTACAAAATACAATTACAACACGAATGCAATGAACGACAATTCAAGGCTCTGACAATATACATTATACAGCGAAATAAATAAAATACTTAATGATAATCTAATCCAAGAAATTGAATAAAATTATTATTAAGTTAAAAAATAACAACAATTCAGCAAATTAAATGAAACAAAACTCAACAATTTGTTTTAAAGATGACGAATCCAAAATATCTGTATGGAAAATATAATTAATTAGATAGAGGTCTATCCATATAATTAGAATAAGGTCTGTCGAGAAGCGCATCCTATAGCTCACTGAAAATGTGCGCGGGTGCAATCGGGGGCCTGAATAAGTATTTTAAGTTTTTGGGTCTCACCTACTTATAACGAACTTTCACAAAACAAAAATATCTATATAACGAAACTTTCTTATATTATCTTGAATTTTATGTATAAAACTGTTTCTATAGGAAGAAAGTAATTTCTCTTTAACGAACAAAATTTATGAAAGTTAGAAGAAATATCCGACCAGCAAACATTCTTTGAAAAAAAATTGTGCATAAATATCTGACCTCCTTTTTAAATAACCACAATATTTTGTCAGATTGCCAGTATGGCTTTAGAAAGGATTGCTCGACTGAGCTTGCTATCCTTGAATTAACGTTATATATTTCAAAAAATATTAATTCTAAAAAACATACAATTGCAAATTTTATTGACATCAGTAAAGCTTTTGACACTGTCAATCATAAATTGTTAATAATTAAGCTATCACATTATGGTATAAGGGGAACAATGTTGGGGTGGTGTAAAAGTTACCTCGAAAGTCGTTATCAATATGTTACTATTAACTCAATTAATTTTACCTTGATGCCTATCAGCTCTGGTGTTCCCCAGGGTTCGATACTTGGTCCTTTATTTTTCAATTTATTCATAAATGATCTTGTTAATTCACCATTGCCAGTTAAATATATAATGTATGCAGATGATACCACCATTTTAGCCTCTGATCAACCATTGCGGGTAGTCGAAGAAACTCTTAATCAAGAGTTGTCTCGAGTTTGCTCATGGATGTTCAATAATGGTCTGCAAATTAATATCTCAAAAACATATGCTTTACTTTTTGGTCCAAAAATTGTTACAAATCTTTTAAACTTTTCTCTATATTATAACAATAATCAAATAACGAGATTAGACAAAATAAAATTTCTTGGGGTCACTGTGACAAGCAATTTGTGTTGGAAAGATCACATCATTAATGTTTCAACAAAAATTTCAAAGATTTTGGGTATTCTTTATAAGTTAAATTATATTTTACCAAAATTTGTAATTCTTAAGCTATTTTATACTCTTTTTTATCCACATTTAATATATTGCATCATTGTGTGGGGTCGTCATGTTAAATCTCATATTGTATTACTTGATAAATGTTTGTTTTATTTTTTTAGGATTTATTACGATTTAAGAAAATTTGACCATGTTTCACATTGTTTTTCCAAATCTAGGATTTTAACAGTCTCTAAACTTTATTTATTTCGAGTACTATTATTTTTATTTAAATTAATTGTTTTAAAAAAACATTTGCAATTTCATTTTTTTTTTATCAATTCGTTTTCGCATTCTTTCAGAATTACTCGTCAAACATTGCCATATCATATTGTCAAGTCAAGAACTGCCTTATTTTCTTCAACTATATTTATTTTTGGTTTAAAATTATGGTTTCTGTTACCTCCTGATTTTCATTATATAAATAGCATCACTCAGTTTAAAAAGCAAATTTTTAATTGTATTCATCATGATTATTTTCCTACTGATATTTATTGACATTATTTCATGAACTTAAGTTTGTGCTTATATTTGTTGGATTATTTTGCATTCTAAGCTATATATGTGATGTGACTTCATGGATGTATTGTGTCTATATATTGTAAGAATGTATTCGTATGTTTTCCTTATTGAATATTTTTTAAGTGGACACTATATTTTTGGTTAGGGTGGCCATACAAGCTTGTTTTTTAAGTTTCTGTGTCTCCCAGTTTTGTCTAAATAAATTTGTCTAAAATAAAATAAAATAAAATAAAATATATATATATATATATATATATACATATATACATATGAGACTTGCCATATCCATTATATATATCCATGCTATTTAAGCACACAAGCGATAATAGATTTTAATTTTGGCTTGCAAATTTATTGTTAAATTCTATTCAAAATACTAATTTTTCCTTGTAAGTAAAGTTATCTGTACTGATTCCTTCTAATTTCAGGATTACAATAAAATATAATTTGTAGTTAAAATATCTGAATTATTGATAATTTAGTTATTTTTAAGTTCAATTGACACCTGGTTTTGATCAGCTGAATTCTCACACGGCTTTGTTCAGATCGAATTCTTTTTTAAATTTTGTTCTCAATTTCCGACATGGATCTCGACCTTTTGTGAGAAGAGAACTGGCCGAAGATGGTCAATATAGCCGATGAACCAGCCAAAAGTTTGCACGAATGGTGCGGAAAGATGTCGCAACTGCTTTCTTTGCTAACGACGGAGTAAAACAGTTGGAAGCAAAAGATGAGAACATTTTATTAGAAATCGAAAAATTGAAGACGCACCTCGAATTTGCAAAAAAAAGTTAGCAAAATCTTCTATCAGTACTGAATTGGTCGATGTGGTTACCAGAAGTGCAAAAGTGTAAAAAAGCCGATAGATCAGCTAGTAGTGGCCATGCAGGAGAGAGGAAAAAGAAAGAATAATAATAACGTTGCTATCTACGGAGTACCAGAATCATTCGCTTCAAATCTGACAGATAAAAAAGCAAGCGCATGACGAAACAAAAATTGGAGAGATTTTCAAAGCTATCGATAAATCTGACGTTTTAGTTGCATACTTAAGAAGATTGAGATCAAAAGACCGAACAAAACCTGGGCCATTATTGGTTGATTTGTCTGATGCTGATAACAGGGTTTCCGTTCTCCTGGCAACTACAAATTGTGAGAACTTGAGAAATTCATATCTGTTTACAATAGTCCAAATTTGACAGAAACTGAAAGACAACTGGACAACTAAATTGAGACAAGAACGAAACAGATTGAATGCAGAACTTGGTGCAGACTTGCCCTTTCGATATGGCATTTGTGGAAATCAGGTGTAGAGATTCAGGCAACTTTTTAATTTAAATTCAGCTCATGATAGAGAATGTTTTCTTAACAGACACAACACCTTACACTGTATGTATTTAAATGCTACTTCTTTAGATAATAAACTGAATGAAATCAGAGTTGTTGTTGAGACGTATAATCCATCGGTTATTGGTGTAAGTGAAACATGGTTTAAAGATAGCTCAATTGTTATTATAAAAAAACTTCAATGTATATAGAAAAAATAAAAATGACGGCCGTAGTGGTGGCGAAGTGTGTCTGTTTATCAATTCATCTGTCAATTCTTACGGAGTCAACGATGCTGTTTTCAAGAGGAGCAAAATTGAACAAGTAATTGGCGGTTATTTGTCTTTATCACGATAAATATTTGGTGGGATGTATCTATAGACCAGATTATTTTCTTGATGTGACTGATCTTGAACATTTTTTCAAACAAATTAGGTATTACGTTGACAATAATGGTTTTAAAAATGTTTTAATAATGGGAGATTTTAATTTCTCATCAATAGAATGGTTGAAGAGGTCAATCACAACTATAAAAAATGTTAGTGGCATTGAACACAAATTTAGCGACATAATTAACGTTCCTCTGTTAACATGTTAAGGTACCAACATTTCAAAAGTCCAATGGTGTAACAGTTTGGATTTGATTTTTACAACGGAATCAGGAAACGTTTGTTCAGTAGATCCAATTTTTGTTCTCGGTACTATAACTCAGAGTCATCTCATTTTGTCCTTTGATTTTGTTATTGAAAATGTCAGCCCAGTTCAACAAAAATCTATATACAAATTTGTATATAATAAAAAAAATTTTAGGGAAATATCTCGAGTGATATCTAATGTAGATTGGACTAAATTGTTTGATAACATGACTGTACAACAAATGTATGACGAATTTCTTAATTACTAAGTGAAATAATCAACATTTTTGTACCCATAGTCGATGCAGCAAAACGTCGTAATAGAAGCTCCATGGATCAACTCACATTTAAAATCACATATCAGAAAAAAGTGTCTAAAATATAAAAATAACATTAGTGAATGGAAGAATAAAAATTTACGTGATTAATATAAAGATTTCTGCAAACATTTAAAATCTGACAAAGCACGTCTTCGTTATGAGCAAACATTAGTTGAACGAGCTAAGGATAATCGCAAAATTATTTAAAAGTATCTTAATAGTCAGCAAACAGTGAAAGAGTCAATTAAATCTTAGTTTGCCATTTGGTTTCCTTGGGTGCAGTTTATCAACATCACAAGATTTGTTTTCATTGAGCTGTTTAAGTTCATCAAAAACAATCTCATAACTGATATCATCAGGCATCATATTTATAAACTGTTCAAAATTACTTTTATTTACATAAAAAAGATGGAATTTTATTATCGTCTTCTAGTACAAACACATCTTGAAAACTGGCATTTATTACATTCACAATTTCAACTCTTATTTTTTATTTAACAGTTTTCTTTCTCCGTTTTTGAATTTATTTACTTACATATTTGTTTAATTTTGTACTACTGTCTTGCATGCTGTAACAGTTTCTGAGTCTGTCATATCCTGAATTTTAAAGAATAATAAAAAAAATTGTATTTCCTATCATTTGGATAATTCTATTTTAGTGGATGTAGTCCTGCTTGATTTTGCCAAGGCATTTGATACTATTCCACACAAAAGATTATTAGCTAAGTTAAATGCTTATGGAATAAATGGATTGAATTGTTTCTTAAAAACAGAAGACAAAGTGAAATTCAAAGTGGGTTGAAATATTCAGGGGTGTTCCTCAGGGCTTTGTTATTGGTCCTCTACTCTTCATATTTTACATAAATGACTTACCAACAAAACTGAAAAATACAACAAAACTCTTTGCAAATGATACCACAATCATGAGAGCAATATCGTCAGATTACGATGTAGTCGAACTTCAATCCGATTTGAAGGAGGCATTCTAATAGACGCAGGACTGGCTTCAACATTGAAAAATGCACTATTATGCAGTACGGATCAGGTAATAAAAAGTGTCCACTGTATATAAATAGAATACTTCTTGCTGAATCTGAATCCGAGATAGATCTTGGAGTGATTTTTTTCAAATAACTTAAAATGGAAAAATCAAGTCATCACAGCATCAATCAAAGCAAACCAAATGCTTGGTCAAATAAAAAATCTTTTGAAAAATTTGATTATAAGTTGCCTCGTAATTTATACCTAACTTCTATTCCACTTCTAACCACTGTTTGAGTTTGCAGTATCAGTCTAAATGGTGATAGCGAGGTAATTGGAAGAGTCAAGCACAGAGCAACAAAGTTGGTTCCATTTATAAGAAACTTAGCTTACGAAGATCGTTTTAAAAAATTAGGATTAACAACTTTGGTGGAAAGAAGAAAAAAAGAAGATTTAATTAAAATCATGCATAATTTGAACAAAATAATCGTTTTAGCATAATCAAACCAAAACGCGAGGTAACAGTTTAAAATATTTTTAAGAGTTAACAAGACACCAGAGGTAGAGAGAACTACTTATTCAATGGAGTTGCAAATACCAGAAACTCATTACCAAATGAACTTGTTGAAGCGCATTCAATGAACAAATTTGAAATAGGCGTTGATTGCCGGATGAACAACAATCAATCAACGAATCAGCTGTGCTATTAATAACATGTATGACCGCATGCTCTCTGAATAACCAGCAGAGCAGTATTACTACTACTACTATTACTACTGCTACTGCTACTGCTACTACTACTACTACTACTAATACTACTACTACTACTACTTCTACTACTACTACCTCTCCCAAAAAAATTTCTGGCTCCGACATTAAATTAATAGTAAAGAAATGATAGACATGGGCAAACAGTTGTAAAATATTATCATTGTTTAAATATTGAATTATCATCTTATCATCTGAATTATCATCTTATCATCTGAATTATCATCTCATCATCTGTTTTCATATATTTCATCACGATAATGTCATCACGGCTGTCATCTCCCTATATGTGTGCGCGTGTGCGTGTGGTGTTTGCGCAGTTTTGTTCTCGTCAATCAATTCATGAAAATATTTTCACGGCAATAAAATGGATATTATTGTCTAGTTTTTTTAAACTGAACTTCAATCAAAATTACAATCAAATTAAACCTCAAATATCTGTAGGTGTTTGAGTCTCAGATGATAAAGAAATTGCTACAAAAGTAAAATACTGGAAAGAATTGCTTAAACGAATTTTAGCAGTGGTTTTATTTTTGGGTGAAAGAGGACTTGCATTCAGAGGTTCTTCCAACAAAATTGATGACCATGATAATGGAAATTTCCTTGGGATTATAGAACTGTTAGCTCAGTTTGATCCGTTTTTACAAGAGCATGTTTCTAAAGTTCAAAAATCTCAAAAACTTGGACAACGCCTTCAGGTTCATTACTTATCAGCAGATTCTCAAAATGACTTTATCGAAGCATGCAGCTCAAAAGTTATTCAAAATATTTTGGCAGAGAGAGAAAGGTCTAAGTATTTTTCAATTATGGTAGATGCTACACCAGATTGTTCTCATACAGAACAAAGTACTTTCATTCTGAGATATGTACAAAACTGCAACTCAACATTTTCGGTCAAAGAACGTTTTCTTGCATTTGTTGATTATAACAAAAAAACTGGCCAGGATGTTGCAGATATGATCAAATATGAACTGGAGAAAAACAAAATTTCTCTGGATGACTGTCGAGGTCAGGGATACGACAACGGCTCAAATATGGCAGGAAACTTCAAAGGAGCACAATCAATCATTGCACATGCATATCCTCTAGCGAAATTTTCAAATTGTGGTGCCCATAGTTTAAATTTGTGCGGTATGCATGCAGCAGAATGTTGCAATGACGTTATAACTTTTTTTGGAATAGTTCAAAAGTTGTACAATTTCTTTGCGTACAGTCTTCAACGATGGGAAATTCTACAGAGATTAACTGGATGCTCACTGCATAATCTTTCTCAAACTAGATGGTCGGCACGTTTGGAAAGTGTGAAACCGATTGCGAAGCACCTGCCAATTATCAAACATGCTATTATTAAATGTAAAGAATTAAATTTGTCATCAGAAAGTGAGACTGAATTGCAAGGAATTGAGCGTTATATGGAATTATTCAAGTGTGTTTTAATGGCTACAATATGGCTCAAAGTTTTAGTTGCTATAAACAATCGAAACAAAATTATTCAAGCCAGAAAAGCCACATTGGATGTAGAAGTAGAAAACATCGACATTCTTCTTGGGGAACTGAAGGATCTACGTGAAAAATGGGACTTATTGCTAGCAGAAGCCAAAATAACAGCAGAAACTATGTCGTCGGATATTTCATGTGAAACAGAACTTCCAGAAAAACGCCAAAAACGACGAAAACGTTTTTATGATGAAAATCAACATATGCCAGAAGAAAGTGCACAACATGAAGTGGATGATGATTTTAAAGTGAACGTTTTCTATAAACTTATCGATAGTATAATATCTGGTTTAACAGAGCGTTTCCATATGGCTAGAAATATTAACAATTTTTTCAATTTTTTGTGGTTATTTACAGAACTTGGAGAAAGTGATCTGGAAAAGAAATGTTCTAATTTCTGCAAAGAATATGACAAAGATGTCAGCAGTGACTTAATTAATGAAGTGAAATGTCTAAAATCAATTTATTCGGATACCATACAGAGTGAAAATCTTCATTCCATAAAACTGCTGAATAAAATTTATCAGTTGAAATTGGAATCTATATTTCCAAATATTTCTATTGCCTTACGAATCTTTTGTACAGTTCCTGTAACTGTAGCAGAAGCTGAAAGGACATTCAGCAAGCTGAAGCAAATAAAAAGTGTGCAGCGGTCAACTGTGAAACAAGAACGATTGAACGGTCTTGCGACTTTGGCGATTGAACATGATTTGGCAAAGTTATTGAATTTTGATGATGTTATTAACAATTTTGCCTTAGCCAAATCAAGGAGAGTTTGTTTCTAAAACAATAAATACCGATTTGTTACATTTGGATATTTAATTTAAAAAGAAAACTTTAATGTTTTTTTTTTCAAATAAAAACTGAATAAAACTATACTTTGTTTTTGTTGGCTATATCGGTCAATCTTAAATTATAAATATTAAGGTACAAGTAGTATACGTATATGATATGCGAATTTTTTTGAATGTCATGTAACCTAAAATAAGATACTTTAGAGGTTTATCTTCCGCGGTCATCGGGGGGCCCGTCACAGTCCAGCCTAGGGGCCCGAAATTTCTGTCGGCGGGCCTGAACCCATAAGAAAGTGTTGTATATTAGTAAATAGGCCTCCTCTTGGAAATTTATTATAAACAAATAATTTTCCTAATTTTAATGAATTCAACTAAGGTGTTTGTTTCATGTGTCATGCAAATGAGTTGGTTTTGAGCAGTATTTTTAATTAAGTCAGTATAACACATTGTTTTGACAGATAAAAAACATTTTATGTCAAAAATTGCCAAAAAAGAAATGAAACTACAAAGTCATGACCTTTCGTATTATTCATCTTTTTTTTTCTTTAGAATAAAATCACATAGATTGTTTTAACTTCCAGCCTTTCTTAGCTAAATAATAAATAACTTATTTATTTCTAGCAATGAGGTTGCTGTAACCTTTCTGAAATGTAGAAACTCTCTCAAAACCGGTTGAATCGTTCAATTTCTAAATCATCTGGTCGGTCTGATTGTCGTGTATGGCCATCATCATGAGTGTTGCCAACAAACTGGCTACGAAATAATTTCCCATCGTGATAACCTCTTATAATTTTATAATGGTTCTTGGGCTGCTAACAACTTATTCAGAGTAATTCTATTTACATTTAGATTTTCAAAAAAAGGAAACCAATTGTAAATAAGTTACATATGTATACGTGTGTTGTGTGTGCTGTATGTATTCTACACAAAAAGGTGTGTGTGCGTTTGTGCTTGTGTGTGTGCTATCTGAACATCTGAACTAATAATTACGAAATATAGCTAAAATTAAATCATACACATACCATGTTGAAGCCACGTCATATGTTCAAGTAGATTTTCATTTTTCAAAATACATTTTTCTTACCCAAAATAAACTTATTTTTATTAGAACATCAAATCGATCTCACAAACAGTGCAGAGGGTTTTAGAACATCTGTTATCATCCCATCCGAAGTAACTGACATCCAGAGTGAAGCAGACGCAGTTGGCTGGCGAGTTCGGCTCTCCACTCAACCACCTGTAATACACCATCTTCTTGTATTGAGCTGCTCGAACGATTGAAGTGATTGTAAAAAATAATTTTTTTTTACGTATTTCAAGTCGCTCAGCCGGTAGGAATGGCATGTCTTACGTTGTGTGAAACTCTAAGACATGCACGTGTGATGCGGTGCTCGAGCGTGCGTTCAAAACCTGCATGTACGTCGTGTTGAAGTTGAATCTGTAAGCAGTTCTGCGATTGTCGGAGTAGCATGACAGTGAGGAAGAAGAAACAAGCAAAAAGTTGTTGCTAATATTTAGGATTTCATAGTTTAAAAGGTGCATAATGATTGCTCGCAAGTGCACGTTCAAATTTGTGGTTATTCTTATTTAAAAAAAAATGAAAAAGCGTTAAAATCTAATATTTCAATTCAAACGGTACAGTTAGCAACCACCTGGGTATGGAGACCAAAGGAAGGGCGTGCTACGCTGTAGTTGTAGGTTACAGAGGAGGCCGTCCAGATGAAAAATGTGTTGACATTCCCTGGCAGAATGCATGGTACGAAATCTGTGCACGTGCATGCGTGCGCGTGTGTTTGTGTGTGTATGTTTTGCTCATTGTTCATGATGAGTGAGTTGAATACTTTTTTCTGTGTTTTTAAAAATATTTGTTCGGAAGAGTTTATGAATTGATGTGTGTTTAATAAAATGTTGAAAAGTGTGTTGAATTCTGTTGGAAGAATGCCACATCAAACAAATCAACATTTGAAAACGACCTTTCTCAACGCTGAGGGCGTAGAGTTGGACGGCGCGAATCTCAGTGGAGCTTTCAATAACGACAGGGTGGGAGGAGAGGAGGTTGTTGCAGAGAGTTCTCGAGTTGTACCACGTGTTCAAACTCGTCTGCAGGCTGAAACATTTGTGGCTCTCTACCACGTAGTCGAAACTCCTGGGACATTCTGGAAATAATTTTAAAGTTAGAACGGTTAATTTCAAACCATTATACACACAAACTTTTTGATAGAAAACTTGCCGTGTGCACAGAAAGAAACGCATCCAGGAAGATTGGCACTGTTGGTGACGTTGTACCAGACGTCAGTTATTTTTGGGACACAGGAGCAAGAGGCCACAGATGCCACGTAGTTGATGCCTCTCAAGTTGTTGATCGTGGCTGACTGCAGTAAAACAGTCACAAAATTCAAATTTTTAATTGTTTGTTACTTAAGAACGGCAAAATTTAGATTCTTAATTGGTTTGTAAAGTAACTTCATATAAAATATTACTTCTTTTTCAGATTATTTAAAAAATTTTATCGTCAAATGTCGTTAGCTACAAAAAAATCCATTGTAATGTCATACCAAACACTTGTCGAGGCAGTGCAATGTTGTTTTAGCTCTCAATTTCTTCAACCCTTTCATCTGATCGTCATAGCAGATTGAAGTTTTTTGATTCTTCACTGTTAGCTGTTGTAGGCTTTCGTGTATTTTTGAATGTTAATCTCATTTCTCGCAAATTCCGATTGTACCAGTATTATTAAAAAAAACAGTTTTAGTCATTTTATTAGTTACAATAGTTTTAAATAAAAATAATCAAAATAATATTCATTAATTTTAAAAAAAATTTATGTAACATTTTAACAATTTGTAATGCAAATTTTTTCAGTTAAACGGTACAAGGCACAATCGTTCTTTATAAACAAAATGTTGTCCATTAAAAATATACAAAAATAAATCATCTCATCATCATATATTAACATCATTATAAATAGATATATCCGTGTATCATTATGTATCATTATATTTTATGATTGTATAGATATATTTTATTGTTGGTCGCCAGAAGATTTTCACTCAATTGTATTTTATCCATTCATTAGCTACAACAATTATTTCGTGATTGTATTGCTTGTAGCCTACTTGTTTGTATTACTTCCTCTTACAGGGACAATAGGTTTCATTCATCGTCGTCGCAACGTTAACGCATCATTAACGCAGTATTAACGCATTAGGGGCTGTCCATAAGGGATGTCTCTCTTTTTTAACGTTTTTTTGACTCCCTCCCCCGTTTCACTAACTGTCACAAATCGGCCAACCCCACAAAAATAAGCATGTCACAAAACTTTACCCGCTACCCTTTTAGTGAAGAGTCATTAAACAATGTAATTGTTTTATGCATTTTATTTTTTATTGATATCAAAATAACGAATGACAAGTTTATATGACGAAAGTTTGATATCTAAATGCTTTACCTTAGTTAAAATATAACGAATTAATATTAACTTCTACACCTATATAGTGGTAAACTTTAACAATGGCATTTAAATTTGACTCCTCCTTTAATTAATATTCATGAGCTATTTGTTCGCTTGAAAACTTCAACATTTATTTTGCGCATATATATGAAAGAAAATTTATTTAATGTTTTGTTTATCTAAAAAAAGGGACGCCACACTTGCATTTATCTCCCCCCATTCCCCTCGTCAAAAAGTGTCACAAATATTTGGACCCCCTTCCCCCTTGAAGCCTGACATCCTTCATGGACGGCCCCTTATTGACGCAAAAACTATCGCCTTGTAAGATTTTTTCCCTAAATTTATTATATTATGTGAAAAGTATGCGACAAAAATAAACGAATTGTAATATATTAACATTATTTGAAACGAATAAAGTAAGTTTTTGATTTTAAAAAATATTCTGATTGGTTGAAAAAACGCAATGTATGAAAATGTAACAGTCTATAAAATAAAGTTTCAATTAGATAAAAGGATGCTCTGCTTTTTTTAAGAATGGTCAACCAAATCGTTCATCTGGAAATTTCAGACAACACAAAAGATACGATTGTCTACTGTTTACTCTTCTCCCAATCCCTAACTAAACAAACACATCACACAACGCTTCCAGATCGAGTTGACACATAGTGCAAAATTTCATTATCATTTCATCCAAAATAAGTGACTTCAAAAGAAAAGCAATATTCGAAACTCATCCGACTGTAAAACATCATTAAAATGTTTCTTTATTTAACTATTTTCATTAATTTTGTTTTATTGTATTTTCGAATGTTATGAATTTGAATTAAAAGCGTGTGAGTGTTCGTTTATGTCAAACAGGATATTTGTTTGTTCGTCTCTTTGTCAAAAATTGTGAAAAAACCATAATTTTGTGACATCTGACAATAATATATTTGATACTGAATTTATTAGTGACCTACTCAATACAAACTTAACAAAACTAAAAGTTATCTAAAAGGTCAAGGTCGATCCCACCCCACAAAGAGTGTCAAACTTTTTCTAGCCCTAGTCTAGCTGGTAACTATTCAAGCTAATAATTCATTGTAATAACACGAAAGGACACGTGACCAATTATATTAAGTATGCAGCTTGAATACAGAATCTGTCTTTTTACAAAGATAAATACGTTCTATTTTCTTTCATTTTGTTTTTATTTCGACGACCTCGTGTTAGCAGTTTGGTAAATATGGACAAATCGGCAGTCATTAAATTAATATCTTCCGAAAGTCAGCGAATAACGTATTTGGTAAATCAAAATCTGTTGATCAGATGCTTTTTCTCAACAGTCAAAGAGTGGTATAAAATTTACAAACAATTTACTGAAACACTAACTGTTATTAACCAGTATTTTTGTTTGTTTTTATAATAAAAATTATACATGGAATGTACTACATAATACTCTGACTAAGGATACTTTATTGTCTTTGTTAATAATGATTTAATTATTGAGGGAATGAGTGCGGCAAAATGAGGATTTGTGAGGGAATGAATGCGGGTGAGGGAAGACTTGTGAAGGAATGGAGGCGGGTGAGGGAAGACTTATGAGGGAATGGGTGCGAGTGAGGTAAAATTCATTTTCAGAAGGGGCAGGTGAGGGAACAGATATGTGTTCCCGCGTAGACCTCTAGTAGCAGACAACAGTTTTTTGTATGTTGCATGTTCAGTGACTTTTGAGGAAATTTGTAAACAGCAGGCGATAAAAATAATCAGATATTTATTTGAACTAGGGTAAAGATTAACAACTTCAAGTAAGCTCTTACAAGTTTGTTTGTTGATTGGCCGATTGATCGAAAGAAATCTATGTTGATTGGTTATTAATTAATTGTAATAAAAGTTGATTGAATATTTGATTGATATATTCAAAGATTGATTGATACATTTGAGTGCTAATTGAATGAGATTTTGAATGAATTTTATTCAAACCTACTGGTTGAATAATTGCTTATTAGTTTGTTCGTTTGTTAGTTTGATTTTATTAACTGGTTGATTGATTGATTGATTGATTGATTGATTGATTGATTGATTGATTGATTGATTGATTGATTTGATCGATCGATCGATCGATCAATCGATTGGTCGGTCGGTCGGTCGGTCGGTCGGTTGGTTGGTTATTTGGTTGGTTGGTTGGTTGGCTGGCTGGTTGGTTGGTTAGCTGGTTGGTTGGTTGATTTGGTTGGTTTGTTAGTTGGTGGTGGTTGAAATAAAATGGAACTCGGATTGCACGCACACATCTTGAATTCGGATTTAGATCCGACAGAACCAATCCCTTAGATTCCCTTAGATCTACATCAACTCTGTTTTACAGGTAAAATTGTTTAAAGTTTTAGCTATTTCTAATTCAATTATTATTTCAATTTAAAAATTTCAGCAATTTAAAATTTTTTTAAAAATCTTAACGTTAATGCAGTTTAGATCATAAGCAAAAGATTTTATCACAAATAATAAATACTTTTATTAATTTAATAATGTTTTTCTATAACTGTAGTCAAAAATGTTTTCTAATTTGAAGGGTTTAGTTTTTACAAAATTTGGGCAGTACGGGATGACAATTTGGAAGATTCTTGCAGAATTATCTCGAGTTAGACCAACTGTTAGCTTTGAGTCAGTATCTGTAACACGTGTGGTTCTCAATCACGTAGTCAAATTTATCTGGGCGATCTTTTGAAAAATTGAAAGTAATATTTAAAATGAATGTTTTCTTTCATTTACTTGTTTGATTCAATAAATTGGCTTGATTCGATTCGCCAAAAATAGTCATTTTAACGGTATGGTAAAAACATCTTTTAAAGTTTATTTTTTAAATAACTTATGGACAACAAAATCCAGACATTTTCCAGTCAGATCAGTGGTTACATTATACAAAACTTTTATTTTTGGAACACATGAACCTGAATGACTGGACCTCACGTAGTTGATGCCTCTCAAGAAAAATTTCCTCATTGTATGAGTTTCATTTTCAAAAAAAAATTTATATTTTCAACGACTATTGTAAATATTTTAAATTTGCGAAATATTTTAAAAAAGTCAAACGTTTAATTTCAACTTTAAGTTTTGACGAATCACTTTGAAACATAAATAATATAGGAAAAATAATTTTTCCAAAAAATGATTAAGTTTTCTTAATTATTAATTTATTTACGTTTCTTTTTGTAAATTGGTAACTAACCAGTAAGTGACAAAATTTTCACTCTTATAATAATGTCCTCAATGTCCATAATAATAAAAATGTCAATTTTTAAATGTCCATAATAAAATAAAATGTCCATAGAATCGTCGAAACAACTTTTGGTTTTTTGATTATTGACTTTTGACTATATTGTAGCAAGCAATAAGCTCCAGATAACCACCCTTCATTCAATTGTAAAGATAGATGAAAAATTCTTAGTATTAGTAGAAAAAGCAAAATTATCGAATTAAAGATAATTTCCATTATTAATTTTTATCTTAACTCTAATGTTGCAACTATTTATCATAATAAAACTTTCTGTTTCGAAATCTAAATTTACCAGGGTTAATCGATCATCAATTTTATTTTTACAGTACTTATATGTATGTATTTACATATAAGCATTCGCTTACCTCAATTTATTTTCATGTATCTTGATATTTATGTAAAATATTATTTGATTTTAAATCGATTTAAAAATTTATACTATTTCTCAATAATCGCCCTATTCTTTTTTTTTCAATAAAAGTTTTAATGGAAGCATGATCAAAATTGAAGTCATTCATTGTGTTTTATAAGGGAAATCTTCATTTTATCCTGGCAACTATTTTTCTTAATGACTAACATAGACCGAGCCAAATTTTGTTTGCAAGAGGAGCACAGATTTTGTAATTTTCTGGCTAAACCTAACGTTTAAAACTCATCCTAATGTTATGACCTTTGGCAAACTTGAACTGAATAAAACAAATAACACCGAAAAATTATATAAAAAATTTGTTAAATTTAATTTTATTCTAATTATATTTTTTATTACAACAGTTTTGCTCCAAATAGATAAGCATGGTAATAGATATGAATAAAAAAACTATATATAAAGCAGGTTTGCAATTATATCAAAGAATGACCAAAAAACGTTTCATTCAAAATCTTTTCAAATATTCAGACGTTCTTCTAGCTATCAATAAGAATTTAAACCTGAAAAATGAGTTTCATTTTTGTAAAAATGAAAACACAATCAAATCAAAATCACAATTGACAGATAGATCCGGTTTTGTAATATAATGTTAGTATCCGTTTATGTAAGAATAACTAGTTAACAATAATGTATAAAATTTAGTTCCAATATATTTTAAAATGTTTTATTAATCCTAACCAAAAAAAATTTTTTTTTTGGGGGGAAGGGCTACACCTCTGCCCCTGCAGATCACTCAATATCGATTTCACACAAAACGTGGTGAGCACCGCTATCGCAGGGCATGTCGATCCAGCCGCGGACAGATGTCAGGTAGTAGAGGATGCAGTATTCTTTTTCGTCGTACGTCGGTTTTGGGCAATTGGCGTGCCAGGAAAAATAAGTTACCGGTCTGGTCTTCTCTGCCAAAATTTTTTTTTGTATTTGTTTAGTGAATAATTTTATTTGAAAAATTTATTTTGTGTTTAGTTTGTGTTTATGTTCACAAGTTTTAGATAATTTTTCATCAATTTTATATTATCCGGACTATTTCAATCAGTGAACCATTACTCGCCTGGATAGGGTGACCAGAAAAAAATTGTTTTATTATTGGTAGCATTGACCCCATATCCAGCTGTCCAGATCATATTCAAACTTGTATCTGAACGGTTTATGAATCCACATAAAAATAATTATCGGCAAGATAGAGTAAGGTGTAAGGTGGTTGGTTGTGCGTTAAAATGACCGAGTTCGAACGCGAAAAGATCTCCATCTACCACATGCAACATGTGTGATGTGTGTTGTTGTTGTTGTTGTCCTTATTTTAGAGTAATGTAGTAATAAAATTCCCATTACTGTTACCATTAAACAAATAAAAACTTGTCTAACAATAATAATCAATGGAGGAATAGGCGCGGACAATTGAGTTTTCAGTGTTGTTGTCAATAATAACGGGGTGTGAATTGAGCAAATTGTTGCAGCTCTGTCTGGATTCGTTCCATAGCAACCAGGTGAATTGGAAGTTGTAGCATCTGTGGTACTCCATTATGTAGTCGAACTCTGATGGACAATCTTGGTTGTTTGAAAAACTTTTTCAAATTTTTAAATAACGCAATGGGAATTTAATCATTTTAATAAATATAATTTGAGAAAAGATATATTTGGAAAAAGTAAGCTATGACGTCAGGTGTTGTTATCGCGTAATGGCCTGTTTTGAATGCTGTCTGTCCAATGCGCTGAAAATACGTCATCAGGTTTGCGTTTTGCAGAGTTTGGTGGACGTTAGTGCAGGCATAGTGATGAACTAAAATGTATACAGACTGTGAGCAACGTAAGACAGGCATCCTCCGGTCAGATTAGTGGTTATGTTATACAAGACGTTCATTTTTGGAACGCATGAACAAGTTCCAAGTGATGTCATGTAGTTGATTCCTCTCAGGTTCATGTTTGTTGCTTTCTGGGTTTTTTTTATTCGTTATTTTTTTCATTAGTTTATTATTGTCCAATGCAAATGTGCATAGTGTTTGAAGTTCGCAATTTTTTTTACTATTCTTTTTCAGCATTACCGGCATAAACAGGGATAATGTTTATAAATTTGAGTGTATCAACAAAACGCAAACGTCGCCAATAAGATGTCAACAAATTGTCAAAAAAATTTCATATTTTGGAATAAAAGTACTTTAAATACAATATAAATTTGTAAAAGTTCCATGTTCTGTAATAAAATTAACATACCTGGCATTTGCGAATGCAGTCCAAGGCAGAAGTTGCAACTTTAACTCTCTTAATCACGGTCATCTTTTCATTGTAGCAGGCAAGTCTTGTCCAACTCTTGTTAACGTTGCGGGTATAGGCCCTGTGAAACTTAATAATTTGCTCTATCTGAAAACAAGAATTTATGAAAATTAGAAATAATAAAATGAAATATTTAAGATAAATTTTCAAAAAGTATTTCATTTTTTCCTTGTTGTATTATTCAGGTTTTCAAATCAATTTTTCGGTTTTGTGTTTGTGAATTTTATAGAAAAAAGAACAAAAGAGATCTCCCACAGTTTAGCGAAAAAAATACGTTTCTTGCCTAGTAAATTACATGCATAAATATATAATTTATATATACATTTATATATATTGGTAAAAGACCATCATTATTTTACTACATATATATATATATACGTGTGTTGTGTGTGTGTGTGTCTGTGTGTGTGGTGTGTGTGTTTGTGTGAATAATAGTAATAATGATAATAATAAATACGATAAATGTAAATATAACAATATGAAAATAGCAAGGGTAATAATTTTATAATAGATGAAAGGTTGCATCGCAAATGTTGGTGCGCTGTCTCCAAACAATACCAAAGGTGTGTTTGTTCACTTGGCTTCCGCACACTGCTCATTTTTTGTATAAGACTTCCTGTGACTTTGCAGAAAAGAATCAATGGCTAATTTAAAAATTACCTTATATACCATATGTACCTGATATATGCCTTTTAAACATTTGATGTTCTAATTACTTTAGAAGTTATATAACCTATTAGTTATACAGTACAGATTTTATATCTGAATTACCTATTGCACATGTTATAACATATATCTTTTATACCATAATAAACTTGTATATCTCTATACCTTTTTTTATATATCTATATACATTGAATATAGTATATCTTGTATTGCAACATAAATACCTTAAATACAACATCATATTTTACGAGACTACTTCGTAATAACATTGCTAGTGATTTTATTGTCGACAAGATCTTTGCTATCGATGTTGTTATTGTTATCTAAGTTACAGAGAATGTTGTATTGTATCCCTTGAAGCGTAATTAACATCGTCACGACAATCATTCACGAGGTAATTTGGTTGTGTTAATTTGGAAGAAAATTTCTTCGTATATAGCAAAATACTTTTTTTTCATGTTATTTAGTATATTATGTTATAATTTTGTGGTATTTAAAATTAAGGACTTTAACTTTTAGGATCAATTTTACATTTAACAGGTTACGAAAGTCATTTATTTTGAGGAAGTTTCCTAATGACTGCTTGGGAATCATCTATTAACCAATTTAGCTAATAAAACTAATTTTTTCAGATTAGAAATTAAAAAAAAGTCACAAATTAATATGATTATAATACAAATATGTCATTATCTTTTTATATTTATGTTTCAAAGATTTTCATGTCCTGTCTTATGGTCTGCATGTCATTTCCTTCCATTATTACAAAACTTACGTCTATATCGATTACATCAAAATTTTAATAAAATAAGAGGTTATAGATTTGAAACATTTTATTTCAAAAATTTATAACGTTTTTTTTACAAAACAATGAAAATAGATAATAAGCAAGGATTACTAAAAGAAAATGTGAACATACGAACGATATAAAATTCAAATATACTAAAAATTTTGCTATACATCTTATAACACGTACCGTGAACTACTTTAGTTAAATATTTTATATATTATTAACAAAAGCATACAAAGGAATTATTGAATAAAACAGCAGTTTTTGGATAACAAATTGGCAAGAATAAAATTGAAACTTTTTATACGATGTGCACATGAAGGATAAAAAACTTTGAAAAGCATTACAATACTATCAATTAAAAATAAATTTACCCAAGAATTGAACAATCTCATATTTTCATCAAGATACACACAGGTAGTTACATTGCAATAATAAAATGAAAGTTTCGTAAAGGGTTTTGAAAACTAAAAAATTGAAAAAGAAACCCACTCTTCTACTTGACACAATTGAAAACCCTAGCTTGACTCTATCTAGAGCTTCTTAAGATGTTTGATTCAATATACAGTCTTGGTCCAAACATCCTCTTTTTAATGATTCCAATTGATCTAAAGAGTGGGGAACTCTACAATGTTCTTTGAATCAAATAATAAATGTTTCTGCAAAACCGATAAATAAATTTTGAGGACCAAAAAATCAACACTACACGGAGTGTCGCATCTTTTAGTATTGACAGCACACGGACTGTCAGTGCAGTTTGTTCGTCAAATGCAATGAACCATGAAGCATATCGGTTTATTAACGAACAGATAAATTGTCAAGTTAATCAGAAATTTCAATCAGATACATTAAGTCCTAAAATTTCTCCACTAGAAGTTAACAAAATTTGCTAATGTCTTATAATTAGAGTAGTTTTTTTGTAAAACCTTAAATAATTGTAACGTGAATTTTTCAACTTAACTCAGGCCTATAAATTTTTGTAAACTAAAATGTGTGAATTTTTAGTGTGTTTGTGTGTGTGTTTGTGCGTGCTTGTTGAAGTGAATGTGCATATAGATATATATGTGTGTGTGTGTGTGTGTGTATGTGTGTGTTGATAGTAACCAGACCGTTCATTTACTTTGAAAAAAAAAAAAATGTTTTCTACAGAGAAGAAAGCATGCTGGTGTCTCGATGGCTCCAGAAGCTATGAAGCCAACAGTTCTGCTAGGTTCCAACAAATGTTGGCTGTGTGTGTCAAAACTGGAGTGGGGATGTGGTGAATTTATTTCCACGTTACATTTTACTACTAGGTTTAAACACAATTATGCATTTGAAAGGTTAAAAGGTTTTTTATGTTGGAACAATTATTCAATTTTTTAGATATTGCCTTATGAATCACGTTGTTACTTATTTTAAAATACAGAATCTTGAGTTTCTCACCGGAAATTACGGAAGTAAACTCGCCAGCAACATTCGAATTGTAAGAGTAGTTCACTATTGTTGATAACATACAAACAAACAATTCCATTTTTACTGAAATTTTTGAAACAAAACTAGAAAAAAAAATTAATTTATCTATATTTCAATGTAAATTAATTGCTGTGAAATAAATAAACAGTTTTTCTTTCCAACATTTCACAAGATTGTCCAGCAAAATTTGACGACGTAGTGGAGAACAGGTCAATAGTTAAAGGTCAATTACACTCTTCCAAAGTTCAGAGGTTCAACAAAGAGCACAAACATCGTATATGAATACGTGCTAAACGACGCATCACACACGAAGCATGTGATAGGCGGGGATCTTTTTGTCATATTCTAACCCGGTTACTGCAAAACAGCACCAAGCGACCTTAACCATTGGACCATGACACCGCGAACAATAATTGTTATAATTCTCAACCACCAGGAAACACTTAGAACGCTTCTGCGGATCTATGCAACGCTTTCTTCAACTCTCATCTCGTTGCCATTGATGATCCTGTTGAAAATTATATCCTCTACTTATATATATTTACTCTAGTTTTTTTTCAATTTTTGAAATAATTTTATTTTTTAATCATTAAATTGATATCAGAAGACTTGTAAGTTATAAACTAGACATACAATTAAATTGCTGAACTTGGCAGATAACTTTAATATTTAATATTCACAGTTTTGGGATATGCTTGGCTAGCTGGCGTTCGATCGTACATTAATGGAGCTCCGTTTTTTAGTTGGATGTCCTACCCTAGTTTGTCTTAAATTATAAAATTATTTAGCTGATAAATTTTTTTTTACTTTTTAACATTTGAAATGTTTATGAGTTTGACCCAACGTTCACGGTACGAAATGTTAATAGCTTCAGAATGATGTTATATTATAATAATTTAATAGAATATATATAATAATATAATTTACTATAATATAATATGTTATAATATAATGTAATGTAATGAAAGATAATGTAATGAAATGTAATGTAGTGTAATATAGTATAGTGTAGTATAGTACCCTACAGTACCGTATAACATAATATAACGTGATATAATTTAATTTAATACCTAGATACTTCGCCACGACCATCGCCGACTGTTGAAGTAATTTAAGATCTTATAAATTTAAAAAATAATTTTCTTCTACATTAGTTATAAATTTTTAATTTTTTTAGACTCGAGTAAAAGTTAGATCTATAGCTAAAGAGATTTTATTAGAAGTAAAAGATTAAAATAATTTTATTGAAAATTTAATTAAAAATATAATTAATTTAACTGAACACTTGTGAATCATTGCAAATAAAGTATCGATTTTTATCAGTTAGCGAACGAATGATTAATTAAAAAGTATTTTTTGATAATTAATAAAACTTACAAAAGATAAACACCTGGCCTCTGTTTAATTTAAATAATAAATAAAATGAAACTTACGAAATAAAAGTTTGATAAATGAATGACCTTTTCCTTATAAATAGGCCACGTGTTTTGCTTTATAGCATTTTATTTCAGCTTTTCAGATATTGCCGTTTGAAAATCTGAAAAATGTTATCAAAGAAAGTGATTTTAATCACTTTGTTGAGCAACGTTGTGACGAGCTGCTTGGCCGGTCCTACTCCCGTTACTCCTTTTGATCTGAACATGAAAACCACGGTTATATTCGTATTTTTCTTTTTTGAAAATCTGCAGTTCTATAAATAATTGTTGAATGTTGTGAATTTTAATAATTCGTATTTTTCGAAACTTTCCTAACGCTTCATTTTTCAAATTTTTAAAGACTCCTGGCTATCTGGAGGGCGGTGCAAAAAGCGAAGGAACCAGCTTCGGTGATGCTGTAAAAACGACGCCAGGTTGGTTTGACTACTTCCACATTATTTTGTCTAACTGGGGAATGTAATTGTTTAAAAATCATCTGAGTTTAAAAATAAATTTCAAAGGCATTCCTAGCTCGAAATTGAAAAAACCGTGGTGCTCGCATCCAGATGGTATTGTTGATAGCAGCCAGATAAAGAAAAGATATTTACTTGGTTGTAATAGAGTTAATGGTAATTGTAAACCTAGTAAGTAACTTTTAAAAAATTTTCTTATTAGTAATAATAATAATAATTATTATAGATTAAAATTTTACTACACTAAATTAAAAGCGAATTCCAAAACAAACTTAGTTTAGGAACGTTTAATTTTGACACTGTAGTTAAATGGCCGATCGTGAGTCTAGATTACAAAATCTTCAACTACCCACAGCACCAGGTCGATCTAACGAATGCTTCCATCGACAAAATATTTGCAGAATGCTGGAATGTTAGCAGGAAACAATTTTTTTCACAATTCAACATATTTAAATCGTTTTGTTTTATCCCTTTCCAACATTCAAGCTCTGGGCGAGTGCCTCAAGGATTCTCTCTTTTCACAAGACAGATAGCGATAACGCAACTTTGAAGATAGCTTTCCTTCGTGGTGATCATGGCGATGGTTTTACGTTCAACCAGCCTAAAGGTCAAAAAAACATTTTGGCACATGGTTTTTATCCTACCGATGGAAAAATTCATTTCGACGACGATGAATTTTGGAGTGATAAAAGTGTAAACGGTTAACATTTTTGCTTTCCACTACTTAAACGTTTTAAAAATTAGTAATGCGGCTGGAATAATTCATTGCTACATTCACAAAAAAAGGTAAAAACATTCGTAACATTAACAAGAAAATATAGAAAAACAAAAATATTTTACTCAGGTGAAAGTTTGCCATGGACAGCCTGTCATGAATTCGGACACGCGTTAGGTATGAACCATTCGGACATAGAAGCTGCAGTGATGTATAAGTCTTCAAAAAATCTACACACCCCTGTGGTCTTTGATCAAGATGATATCAATGGCATTCGAGAACTGTATTCCAGTGCAAACTGATCATTATGGCAGAATTTAACAACTTGAAAAAAAATGAACTCCTATTTTATTTAAATTATTTCAAAATTAGATGATTGATTTTTTAATAATAAAAATGTTGCAGCGTAAAAGTGTTTCTAATATTTCTTTTAAAAAGTGTCTGTAGCACTAATAACAATTATATTTCACAAGTAACTCGTCAAAAATGGTAACACCGAGGATAACAATAAATTCCAAAACAATAGGTTTCATTAACATGAGCAGTCCATTTTGGTCCAATGGACGCCCAATGATTGATGCCAATGGGATGGTCGGTATCCTCTATGATGCCAGTTCAGCTTCTTGGCTTGATGAAGTTGAAAATGTTGAAGAGTCCTATCTGTGCGAGCTTGATTTGAAGGTTTGAATGTTTCAGTTTGGGTTTATTCGGTTGAAAAAATGACAAATGATGAAATATAGTTTTAGTTTTGAAGGTAATTAATATTTACAATTTGAAATAAGTTTGGTGGGTGACGGAAAAAAAATTAAAAACCATCCATATATGTCAACGTTTACATTCATATTTAATAGTTTTTGTGATAGTTTCACTAACTTTAACGTTTTTTATGCACTAGTTTGGTTCAAGAAATCAATTGAATCAGTTTTATAAATATTTTTTATATACGTAAATAAACATTAAATGTTCGTGTTTTTTCTATACTGTTTTATCATCAATAAAAACTTATAAATCATTTTTATTTTTTTTTATTATTGCTAATTCTTGAAACATTCAATAAAAAAATTAAATGAAACTCGATAGTATCCATGGATGGATATATATAATGATAGTATCACGAGTATCACAATATGTGCAAAATGTTTTCAAATGAAAAGAATTAAACGGCACAATGCATTAAAAGACTGAGAAATGAATGAAACTTTTCAAAAAATATAAAAAAATATACTTTACATTAATGTTATTTGTAATATTACTACTGCTGCTGCAACAACTACTGTTGCATATGCATCAAACCAATTATGTATAACATATTTCATATTGAAAAAGTTGATGATGACAGAAAGCAATTATGAAAAATGTCGGATATTGAAAATTATTTTTAAAAAAATCAGAAATATTAAAAAAAGAAAAAATTAACTTTAGTAAATTCAGGAGACAAATTTAGCATTAAAAAATTGAAAAACGTGAAAAAAAACCATTAAGTAACATTTCAATATGTGTCGACATATTGAAATTTAAAATATAAAATAGTATTCCAAAAATAACGAAATCAAAGATCATTGAATTCAAATTCTCAAAATCAAAATTTCTCTGATAGCTGTATCAATTGCTCAATTAGCCAAGACCAATTCCACACAAAGCGTTGAACAACGAATTGCATTAGTAATCAATCTTGCCCTAATTCATAAGAACTGCCAGACAGTTGATGGCAGGAGTATTACGTTGGGTCCCAAGAAAAATTCATTTACTGTAGTCTGTTGTCCTGCTTTTTCAGTTATTTTAAATGAATTGAAAAAAATGTTTTATGCAGCTTTGCCATGTGCTGAATGGTTTTTACATACTGTTGCGGTTAAACGTTCGAGCCAGAAAGGCTGTAAATTCACTCCCACACCGCACGACGTACAAACATACGACCAGGTAATCGCGCTATGACTATAAAACTTCTACCTACTAAGCTTACTCGCCGGCCAAAATATTAGAAACTTTTATGTTTCGATTTATTGTCAGGTTAATTCAGTTTTTAAATATTTAATAAAATAAGTGAATGAAAAGGGAGGATGTGGAGGTTTCAACTATTCGCGATTGGCTAACTAAAGAAAAATTTGTTTTAAATGAAGTGCATTGATTCTCTGTGTCAAACTTATGCTCAACAACAACATCATCAGTCTCACCGAAAGGTTTTGAGTCAATCAATTTTAATTTGGTTCTTAAAATTTGAAGAAAAATTATGAAAAAATTATCAATTTTTAACGAGTTAACCTGAATGTTGTTCCCAAAGATAAGGATTTACTATATAAAGATTGAATATCCGATAACCAGCAGTCAATAACTTTGGAGTTTTCAAGGTTAGATCGGTTATTTTTGAGAACAAGTAAAATTTATCACTTATTTTGTTTCATTTTATAAATTGTTCATATTTGTGAATAAAGTTCTGTGAGTAATAGATTTTTGTGAAACGTTTTTCTGGATTGCGTGTATATATATGTATGCATATACATATAAATAGCATACAACATGTAGCCGAATATACTTAATTACGAATGAAAGTTGAGAACTTGGATTTTGACGATGTAGAATGATTTTGAAATCAAAAGCGACCAAGTGCTCTTCAACGCATCACGCAGATTACTGCTATAGCGCCAAAACAAGGCGCCTTATCAGTTCACCATCTTGCTATCAAAATGCAATTTTTGAAAAAATCTGTTTAAACTTGAAAACAAAGTCAAGGCCGTTATCTGAAAAGCAGTAACGTTGTCAATAATCTTCGCGTACATGTACACATGCGTGGTGACGTAATTCTCAACAGGATTTTCAATCATGATGAGATGAGAGTTTTGAAGATTGTTGCATAAATTTCTAGAATTGATCCAATTGTCATTTATCAATTTAATTGTTGAATGTGTATATATTTTTTTGTTTGTTTATATGTATTTGTGTGTGTGATGTGTGGGCGTGTTTTTGTGTGTATATTTGTGTGTGTGCGTGCGTGCGTGTGTGTGTGTGTGTGTGTGTGTGTGTGTGTGTGTGTGTGTGTGTGTGTGTGTGTGTGTGTGTGTGTGTGTGTGTGCGGTGTTTCTGCTTATCAGAACCATTCTAAAGAAAACTGTATACTTGTATTCTTTAGTACATTACATTTGATGCGTGCAAAACGTTTACGTACATTTTACAAATATTTTGTGACATTTTTAAAAATATTTCGTTTTATCTGGTTGGCATACAGGTTCACACAAACTACATTTTTAATTTCACTGGTAAACCTTCTTAGAAATTATATTTCCTTCCATAAATTAATTTCAAAATATTTGCTAGAACATTATATCAAAACTTTCCTGACCAAATAATATAACAAAGCATTATTAAAATGAATTTATTTTGGTTAAATTTTGGGACATTCAGTAATTAATTTTTTGGTGTTTAGCATAGCGAACATTGTACTGTACATGAAAGAATGGATGATGCATAAAGAACATTTAATAAAGTCAGTATCACTAGATTAAGGTTGTATATTTTATAAAATATAAGTAGATAAAGGTTGTATATTTTGCAAGAACCTTTGTTAAACCTAATTAACAATTGTAAATTCTCACGTGAATATGAGCAATTCAAAGTACAATAAGTACCCTTACAAATACTTTGAAACGAATCACACATTTCAGTATCTTTTTTGGTCAACAGAAAATTTAAACATTAAAATGGAAATCGCTATAATGTTGAACGTAAAATCGTTTGTTAAAGCGACAGTTAAGGAACGTGTGAGAATATTCAAAGAAAATGAACTATCCAAACAGCAAGCGGCTTACAAAGACTTCATGATCAAAAGTAATGAAAAGTACAACTTATCTTCAGACGATATTGAATGCTTAGCGAATATTTTAACGTCTGATGAAGATCATTTTGATGATTTGAAACGTTTGGAGACATTGCAAACCCTAACGATCGGGGAAAAGTACGATTTGATTGAAAACGCTCAAAAATTATACTACGATAATCTTCCGAAATACATTTCATGGGAAAATGAGAAAACAAATTTCAACTGTATCTACAACGATATAAACTTCATATGCAGCCTTAAGCATAACGACACATATTTCTCGTTGCTGAGACTTAATCACACCTACAAACTGCCCTACCTAAAAGAGAAATTTATAGGCGGGGAATGCCAAATATGTCTGGAGAAATTTTTAGAGATGTCTTTCGTCTCCAAACTGAGATGTAAGCATTCGTTTCATCAGAAGTGTTTAAAAATTTGGTTGCTGGAAAAAGAGAGTTGTCCAAGTTGTAGGAGTAGGGTGATTAAGAATATGCGATTTGAATCTTTTTATAATGAGAGTATTAAAGATGATGGAATTGTAGAACTTTCGATAATTTTATATACTGAAGCAACTCGTTTAAAATGTTGAAAAATGTTAATAATCAATCCGGATTATCTGTGTTATATTCATGTTAAAGTTAAGACAAATATTTAAATTTGATTATTTTTTTCACAATAAAATAAATTTTATATGCATTCCATTTGACCATATCTCCATCGTCTTATTATTTATCACCATATTTTGGTGTAGCCTAAAATTTTTTATAATGTTGAAAATCAATAAATTAATTAGTTAATTAGATACAAATATATAATATATAAATTTAATTTTTTATGCGTTAACAAAAATTCTTACATATTTAGTACGGGTATGTTGTAGATTCAATACAAGTACAAACCATAGAAGCACACAAAATCAGATGTTTTGCTTACAAAAATTCACCATATTCACGCATTGGAATTTTCTGGCTTCTAATTACATTTGAACTTGGACATCGTGTTGCGCCGTTTGTCTTAGTTTTCTTTCACTGATTCACAATTTCGCTAAATCTGCATTTGCTTTTTCTGACCTTTTTTTCTGGCACGCTTTGCCTCCTTCTTTGACTAATTCTCAATCACTTACAGAGTTCAGAGAAGATCTGTTTGCAAAATTTATTGAGGAGCACTGTTGAACATCGCGGAAACTAATTGGTTGATTGGTTCGTTGGTTGGATGGTTGGTTGGTTGGTTGGTTGATTGATTGATTGATTGAATGATTGATTGTTGATAAAAGTAATAAAATTCTGTGATTTTACTTCACTTCTAAAATATTAAATTGAAAAATTATATCAAAATTTCGAAATAATTGTTAAAATAACTTGCCATGAGTAACAAAAGCCAGACATCCTCTAGTCAGATCAGTAGTTATATTATATCATACCGTTCGTTCATTTTCAGAATACATAAACATGATCCCACTGTTGTCATGTAGTTGATGCCTTTAAGTTCATGCTGGTTTCTATCTGATGAGGATTTTATAGCATTTTTAACAATTTGACAGAGTAAACATTTATACTGTTAAATGACATTTTTGGTTTTAAATTTTAATAAAAAATCATGATTGATTGACTGACTGACTGACTGACTGACTGACTGACTGACTGACTGACTGACTGACTGACTGACTGACGTGACTGACTGACTGACTGACTGACTGACTGACTGACTGACTGACTGACTGACTGACTGACTGACTGACTACTGACTGACTGACTGACTGACTGACTGACTGACTGACTGACTGACTGACTGACTGACTGACTGACTGACTGACTGACTGACTGACTGACTGACTGACTGACTGACTGACTGACTGACTGACTGACTGACTGACTGACTGACTGACTGACTGACTGACTGACTGACTGACTGACTGACTGACTGACTGACTGACTGACTGACTGACTGACTGACTGACTGACTGACTGACTGACTGACTGACTTTAAGAATTAAAGAATTTAAGACTTTAAGAATTTAATTATGTTGTTAGGCGTTAGGTTTACAATTAATAGAATATAAATTTATTTAATTTTTTATTTAATCGCACATCTAAATTTGAAAGACTTAAATGTTTAAACAATTATGTTTTTCTAATTTTATATTAACTAAAAATTTAAACTTATTTTATTAATTGCAGAAAAAATTAAAATATGGTTTACAAATGCTCAATATTTAAATGTAAAACTGGTTATGATGAGGCCACGAATACTGGAATCAGCTTGCATGGATTGGATATCCTTTAAATGATTCAGAGCTTTGCAGCAAATGGGTGATAGCAAATCCTCGCCAAGATTTTGAACCGACCGAATTTTCAAAAGTTTGCTCACTGCATTTTCAAACAAGAGATTTACATATGAATCAATAGATTATAATCACGGAAAGAAAGAAGCAAGGTCAAATAAATATTTAAATGTTAAAAATTCCAATAAAGGATTCCATATCAGAGATTGTACCAAGGATGTAATAACTTCAACAGGAGATTGGAAAATAGAAATGTTGGACGCCTTTATCAAGATGATTGAATTTTGACAGTCTTCAAAAAGACCAGGTCTGAGTTTTGAAATATTTCTGGCCTTAAAACAAACAGCAAAATCAATGGTGGCATCAATTAATTATTTAATTGATGACTTAAGTTTCAATTATATTTTAACTGGTAACATACAATCTGATTCAATTGAATCTAGATTTGGATGGATGCGGCAAATGGCAGGCAGCAATTATTATATATCTTGTAGGCAGGCATTTCACAGTGAAAAAAAAAAAATTAGAACTACTTAACTTTTGAGACACTCAGATTTTTCGATAAAAGAAGTTCAAAACTTTATCATTTCAAACAATGAAATAAGTTATGATGATTTGAATGATGTTGCTGATGATATATCTAAATGCATCACAATCAGTAAAATATCTGATAATGAATGCTCCACACTGTCTTATATCTGTGGCGCCATCATCCATTCTGTCTGCAACACCACAAAATGCCAGTCATGTAGAGAATATTTGATCTCTGAAAAAAAGAAAATTACTTAAATTCAGATTTTAGATATTTGAATCAAGTCATTAGAGGAGGATTAATTATTCCATCTGAATATGCCTGGATAACATGTTTAAGAATATTCAGTATTTTTCAAGAGATGAAAAAATCTGAAAAATTGTTTAAAAAATTTTAAAAGCAAAAAATCAAAGTATTTTTTTCAAAAGATAGTTGAAAGAACGAATTTTGAAAAATTTGATTCTTTATTATTTTTTTCTAATTATTTTGATAATTCTCTTGATCTACAATTATATTTGTGTAAATCCCTTTTTAACTGTTTAAGCAAAAACTGTTAAATCTTTATCTAACGTTAAAAAAACAGAAAATAAAATAAAAAAAATTGAACAACTGAATTTATTGTTGTGTTTTATTACAATTTCGATAGCATGCGTGCTGGATACGATCGTTTAACCGTCCGCCTAGATGTATAACCTAATTAAAACGCTTGTCCGTCCTGGTGTATTATTTAAATGTCCATGCTAGGTAGTAGCGTCTTATTTTGTCTGGTTTAATTGGTTTTAATTACTGTGTGTGTCAAATTTTGCAGCCTTTTGGGCAATTTAAAACAAACAAGTAAAAAAATTAATTAAAAAAAAATTACTTCAATACGCTTTGAAAATTTTTTATGTAGGTATAATAAGCGACAGTGAACCCATTTTTGAATATTTATATTATTATTCTATTATATTTGGCAAGTTAGCTCAACGGTTGGAGCGCCATGTTTCACAATGTCATTGGTCGGTGACCTGTTTCGTGCGCTGTCTGTTCGAAACTTGAAGACTGTCATACGCCTTGTTCGTATAAAATGGTACTTGCGTGAACTACAAAATCTATCGTGTGGTGTGGACTTTGTGGCACAAAACTTTAACTGAAAAAAATAGGTGAAAAACAATTTGTTAAATGTTTTCAGTTTGTCAAAGCTGCCTAGTGAAAATGAAAAAAATGTAATAAAAAATCTGTACATAATAACTGCAAACTTGTATTCAGTAATAAATATTCGCATAAACACGTTTGAATTAACGTCATTAATCCGCGAATTTGAAAATTAATAACGAACAAAAAATGTGTCTTGATGGCCTAAATATCTGTCAAAATAAGCTTAATTTTCTATTATTTTTATCTACAACGCTATCCTATATTAATTATTTTAATTTTGTTATTTGTGGAATTTTTACCCATAATAAATTGTAACAATTTGGCTGCTGTTAATTATTCAGTTACATTCTGTTCAACAAAAAGTATATTTTGTGTTAATTTTTGCCATGAAATGCTTTCCATAAAAAAATTATTTCAATTTTTTCCAAAATCATATTATACAAAGAATTATAACGATAGCTTATTAAATTGGTTCTATTTTACATGTTTTCAAGATAGACACCCTAGAAGATTTCGTGAGGAAATTAATATTGGTGATGGAATTAGACCAATACTGGTCAGCGTTCAACTTGAGAGTGAAAAAATTGGGCAAAATCTTAATGTTTTTTTCAAAAAATGACTTTCAATCCAAGATGTAAGTGTGTGTGTGTGTGTGTGTTTTCAACTGCGTTTATAGAAAAGAGAAAACTGGTCAATCATTATTTGCCGGCGTGATAGTCTAATGGTTAATGTCGCTTGGTGCTGTATCGCAGTAATCGGATTTGAATATGACAAAAAGATCCCCACCTATCACATGCTTCGTGTGTGATGCGTCTTTTAGCACGTATTCATATACGATGTTTGTGCGCTTTGTTGAATCCTCTGAACTTTGGAATAGTGTAATTGACCTTTGCCTGTTGCATGCTATTTTGATATGGGCATATATAATTTACGTTTAAGCCCATTATTTATTTATATTTATATATTTATTTAAAGTTACAGCAAAATGATAACTAAATATAACTATGTAACTGTCTTTCTTGCGTAGGCCCTACATTTTTGTTGAAACCCCGAGCTTGTCTACCCCCAATCTGACCCTGTTTCAAATTTATTGATTTTTCAAATTTTTTTGACTAAAGTAAATGAACTTTGGCTCAAAATTAGGAGTAAATTATATCGCACGACATGCGAAAGTTCTGAAAATAAATTAATCCCTACAGTCAAAATTATAAAATTTGATTCAACAAAAAAGATTGCTTAAATGATCAACGCAATCAAATGCTGCGCTCATATTAAATAATGCTATCAATGACACCTGCTTCATATCAGATGCATGAAACAATGTTGATAACATCCTGAGCAGAGCTGTCTCTGTTGAATGAAAATGTCTATATCCAGACTGTGAATGCGGCAAAAGATTGTTTTCATTCAGGCTTGGACTGGGCAGCCGGAAAATTCCCGGTGGGCCGGCGGCTGCCAATTGAAAGTTATTATATTCTTTGTTTGAACTGAAATTACCTCCAATTATATAACATCTTCTAACAATAGTTCGTATTGAATATAATTTAACTGAAGCATCAAAATCAAGACCATAAGAAGTCTAACTATAATTACTTATATAATAAGCTTCCGACGTCAGTGGTTATAATGCGTAATATATAAGCATATCAGTACACCTTGCGATTTCAGCTTCTACGTACTTCAAAAAAGTTATTAGTTATTTTATGAACAGCACACACATTGTCAGAAAATGTCTAAACACCAAATAGAAACATAACTAGATTACTTGTGATCCATATGCTACTAAAAACGCTAGCAGAAAGATGATATGATAAGAAATAAAAAATAATAATTATTATCCGTCTTATGTCAAATATTACTGGCCATGCTTTATTTTTTGCATTATAAAGTATTTAAGTGTATAATCTCAAAACTTGTCTTTAAAACATTTTTAATATTAATATTTTATAAATGTTGGATGTTAAATAAACATTGTAACGATAATAGTTAAAAAATTCAAGCTAGTTAATTATAGAAAACTAAAGTAATAAAAAGGTCAAATGTTTTAAGTTTTTTATAATAAGTACGAGTGTTTAAGGCTTCATATTATTACTAATTGTTATATTAAGATATTTCAGGAAAAAAATAAACATATAAATGTAAAAAATTTATAGACAAAGAAAGTCTCATCGGCACGAAATTCGGCGTGTTCGTGTAGAAGCAGTTATTTGTTGGTATCATGTATTGATTCAAGTTGACACTTGGCGCGGCATGTAAAGTAGAAAGACTAGAAGTCAAAAATTCAGAAAAGCTTTTGTTTTCGTTCTCCTGTTCTGCAACCAGTCTCTCGCTTTTTCTACACAAATGTTTACGTACTTACAGTACTCTTTCTAGAACAACAAACTTCCTCGTAGTAGGCTGTTTTTAAATGGCTTAATTCAACATCGTCATGCATTTTTTTTATTTTTTTTTAAACATTTCGTACAGATATATTCTAATTTGTTTTTTAATAAGTGAAAAATATAAAAAGAAATCAAATAAATTTCAAATCAAAAAGATACAATAAAAAAAATATTAGGAGGCACTTGGAGCATAATTGAAAACTGTTGGTCCATTCATGAAACTTGGCATCTGCAGGAGATAAGGATTCTGAATAGAATTCACGTTGTTCATTATTCCAATAGATGCCGGTGCAATAGGTACCAATTTGAATGGAGATTTTGGAGCTGCTTTTGCGGGTTTTTTACATTTAGCTCGTCTGTTTTGAAACCAATTTCTTATCCTTTCTTCATCTACATCCAGAACCTTGCAGATGTGTAGAATTGTCGATTTTCCTGGATATCCACTGGAATTTTGAAAAGCATTTTCAAGTATTTCTGTTTCTTGGTCGTTGTAAACTCTTCTAAATCTTCGGTCTGATGGCTTCTTGTCCGTTTCTGGCAAAATCGGGTTTTCATCATTAGGCAAACATGATTTTTCTTCCTTAGTTGGTGCCGAGGTCAAATTTATCGCTTCTGTATTGGCTGAAATACTTTCCTTTAAAATGATCTCTGCATGTGTGGGAAATATTTTTTCTGATTGTGCTGATTCTTTTGTGTTGTTTGTGGTGTCCTGTTTTCGTTTTTTATTCGACCACAATAATTTCTCTTCTTCCGATAATTTTAATGTTGCGCAATTTTCTTTAGTTTCTATAGAAGGCATTTTTAACCGTTTACAAGATTTTGATTTGTTTTCACTTTTAGAAATGGGTTTCATCTGACGAATTATCACAGGAAATTCTGTGACACTCCTTGGACTGGTTTCTTCTTCAGATTCAAGTGAAGAATTTAGGCAGCCTGATAAAGATCCGACACAAGAAGAGAAGTTTAATAACCTTTTCTGACCTGATGCTTCCATTTGAGGAAAAAAAAAATCCGTTTCAAACTTCATTCTGCCTTGAAAAGAATAGTCTAGTTGTTGGTGTTCAGCAGCTGTCGAGCACAAGTCCTTGATTTTTTTAAAATCAACAACACTATATTTCAACCCAATCATTTTGATTTCAATTCACTAGACGCTAATTCACAAACGTATTGATGACTAAAACACAAATTATTCTCAAAGTTAGGTAATTTTAATAATTTCAATTTCTGAAATTTTCCTTAATTTCAATTTAAGAATATTTCAACGAATCCAAAATAACTTCAATTCACTGTAGGACGAACGATTCTGAATATTTTTATCTTCTTTATATACACCGCGAAAGTAGTAATTGGGTTTATATGGATACGCTAACATTGATCATAGTCCTTTTTCTTAAATTTATGAGCTAATTTCTTCAATTTTATTTTCATATATTTCTATATCAACCTAAATTAAGGAAAAATTGTATATTATTTATTCAGCTGTAATTTTTAAACAAACATCTTTACTAATTAAAAAACAATAAAGATAAAATAAGAATGTTTCTGTACAAGATGTTTAATTTTATTGAATAAAAATCAAAACAAAACATTTATAATTTATAAATCCACAGCTTTTTACAAATGTAATTAATTAATTAACTGAACAAATAATTTATTGATTAATTAATGTAATTTTTGTGTGAGTACTTACTTGGTTTTCTTCATAAACCAAATAAGTACAGCCAGACATTCACATTCGCGCACTCAGTGTACAAGTTCAAACCAACGTGCGCGCAATAATTTACAAAACAAACTAAAAGTAAACGTTGAATCAGGTTCCCACTCTACCAAACCATACGAGAATTCCTTTTTTTTATTTGATAAGTACTATTGTCTTTCTATTTATTTTTTAATTACAATCAGTGCCTAATGAACGTAAGAAATGAATAATACTATACAAATGAAAATGAATTAATTCTCTGATGGTAAGCGACATCACGTTAAATATAATTAAGAAATTTTTTCCACCCTATTGTTTGTTATTGGGTCAAATTTCTCAACAATAGTACATAACAGACGATGCTTCATAATAAAATATACACAAAACATTTAAAGAAAATTCCTTTCACATTGAACAATTTTATTTTTTGACCCTTTCAGTTTTATGAATAGAAGATAATCCTTGAGTTTTTTTTATTATGATGGTATGGTAATATACGTAAAAATTTAAACCAGACCACAAAATTATTTTACAAACATGCATACCAACTTGGCATTTTCAAACATAACTATAATGTTATACATGAGTGGTCGGTGTCTAATGACAAAGTTGGCGTTTTTGCCAATTCTGATTATGCTGTAGCAGTTGAGAGAATTGTTACTTCCATCTACGTAGAATAAAAAACTTTTGCTTTTTTTAACGATCCTACTCCTCTTGCTTGTTTCTTCATTAGTTTTATCTTGATTATTTTAACTCGCTCCACTATGGTCTTTCTGATTCTACACTTTATCCTTTAAGTTAAGCTTTTAACTCTGCTGCTCAATCAATCAATCAATCAATCAATCAATCAATCAATCAATCAATCAATCAATCAATCAATCAATCAATCAATCAATCAATCAATCAATCAATCAATCAATCAATCAATCAATCAATCAATCAATCAATCAATCAATCAATCAATCAATCAATCAATCAATCAATCAATCAATCAATCAATCAATCAATCAATCAATCAATCAATCAATCAATCAATCAATCAATCAATCAATCAATCAATCAATCAATCAATCAATCAATCAATCAATCAATCAATCAATCAATCAATCAATCAATCAATCAATCAATCAATCAATCAATCAATCAATCAATCAATCAATCAATCAATCAATCAATCAATCAATCAATCAATCAATCAATCAATCAATCAATCAATCTATCAATCAATCTATCAATCAATCAATCAATCAATCAATCAATCAATTAGCTTATAAAGCGCTATTTCCGCAATGTTCAACAGCGCTCCTCAATGAATTTTAAAAAACAGATGGGTCTTGAGATCCGCTCTGAACTTTGCAAGTGATGGAGAAGTAGTCAGAGAAGTAGGTAGAGAGTTACATAGAAAAGGACCAGAAAAAGCAAAAGCAGATTTGGCAAAAGAGTGTTTAACATGAGTTAAGAAAAAGCGAGAAGAAGAAGACGATTGTAAACCGGGGCGTTTAGGTTCAATTAATATATCTGATAAATACTTAGGAAATAATTTAGATTGAGACTTATACATGAACGTGCAATTTTTAAAAATTATTCTATATTTTATAGGTAGCCAGTGCAAGAAAACAAGATATGGAGATATATGAGAAAAGAAAGGGGCACAAGCAACTAGACGAGCAGCAGAGTTGAAAGCTTTACTTAAAGGATAGAGTATAGAGTCAGGAAGACCATAGTAGAGCGAGTTACAATAATCAATCCTAGATAAGACTAACGAAGTAACAAGAAGGAGAAGAGTAGGATCATCAAGAAAAGGCAAGTTTTTTATTCTACGTAGATGGAAGTAAGTGCTTCTAGCAACACTATTAATCTGAGAAGAGAGAGACATAGTAGAATCAAAGATAAAACCTAGACTACGAAACTTATGAGAGACATCAAGAGTTTTAGAATCAGGTAAGATAATAGGAGGAATAGTAATAGAGTGTTTAGATTTATTAAAACAAATTAATTCAAACTTAAAAGGATTAAGTTTAAGACACATAGAGTCAGACCAGGCGATAATTGAAGAAAGACAGAGATAGATTATGAAGAACACTATTGAGATTAGTTGGAGGAAAAGAAGTATAAATGTAAGAATCATCAGCATATAGTTGACTAGAGAAAGAAAAGTTATTAATAATACGAGGTAGTTCAGAAGTATAGAGTATAAATAGAAGAGGGCCAAGAATAGAATTCTGAGGTACCACGAAAGTATGAGTAGAGGAGTTAGAAGTAGAATTATTGAGAACAACAGAAGATCGTCTAGTTGCTCGTGTTCCTATCTTTTCTCGTATTTCTCCATATCTTGTTCTCTTGCACTTGCCATCTTCCCTATCTTTTCTCGTCTATTTCCATATCTTGTTCTCTTGCACTTCCAATCTGGACTTGGATATATATATATATATATATATATATATATATATATACATAAATTAAAATTTAAAAATGTTTAAATTAAATAACAAATGAGATTAAATTAATATTTACACATTTAGTCACCAATAGCGATGCAGTCACGTGTCAGACCTTGAAAGATGGCAGTTGTTTATTATTTATTTTCATCATATAAATAATAAATATAAAATATTTAATTAAATGTTTTCGGCGATTGCGTTTCATTTTGGAAAAATGTAATCAAAATTTTATTTTATTTTTATGATTAGGATTGAGTTTCATTTAATTGAGTGTAAGCTCATTTTCTTTTAATGATTTTATTTCATTTAATTTTAATTTAATTAATTTTTAATTTTAATAAATAAAATAAAATTTTTAATTTTAGAGAAGTTATATAATTATTTATTTATTATTGTGATTACAACAATAATAAATAAATTAATTAATTAATTAACAAAAATTGATTATAAATGAACAATTTTTATAATGAAAAAGTAATTTTTCATCTAAAACTGCTTAGCTTTTATTTACTTTTTAGTAACTTAATAAGTTACAGGTTACTGATTTAAGATAAAGATTAATTAAAACTTTAATTTTTTTAAAGTTTTAAATTAAAGAAACATTTAATACTAATAGCCTTCTAAATTAAAATATCATAATTTTCCATCTTTAGTTTAATTTTTGTTTTGCTAGACTGAAATATTTGTGGAAATTTTAATGAGACATGTACAATATTTTATATTATAATTTATTATATGGTTATTTATTTATTCATGAAGTTATTTGGTTTTTAGCCTAAAAATCCAAATAAAACAGTGATGTATGTATTATTTGTAATTTAATTAAAATGTCATCAGGGCAGAGGTGTGGTTATGGTGGAGGTAGGATGACCAGAAAGTGAAATTAAAAAACTAGGACAGTTTAGATCAGAATCTACATTGTAGATTGTAAAAGGACAATTTTTTTTAAAGTACACACAAAATAGCTACATTACACAAGTTTAATTATTGCTTATTAACTTATAAATAATACAAAGAATTTTACTTGAAAAGACTTGTTTGTTTTGTCAATTATTTATTTATATATAGTGCTATTTTGTATTTTGCCTTTCTAATCAATTCAATAATTCTTCATAAAATTTTTAATCTTTTCTGTTTTGAAATTAAAGCATTTTATATAAATGGGGCATTTATATTTATGTGAAATAAAAGATCATTCCAGGCAGCTGGAAAAAATGGGAAACTATGATGTCTTCTCAGACTAATTCTAATGTCTGTAGTCTAGTGTATTGACTGTTTGATTGTGGTCACAATTCATTATATGTAAAACTCCTGTATTGATGTTTGATGTATCTGTCTGATCTAAGTCTGGTTATGATGACTATGGCTGTTGCTGTTGCCCATCCTAGACACCCACTTCCACCGGGTTCCTCCATAACAGATGAACAGATGAGGGACATCGTCTGGTTGTTGGTGGCAGAAAGGACAGATGTTGTTGAGCCCACTGTCGATTCTTGATTTGTAGCTGCTGAGAAAGATGTTGTGGCCAGAGCGGAGCTGGGCAAGGGTCCGTCTGATTGCCCAGAGCAAACTTTCTTCAGATTTATCTATTTTACGGGTTGGTGGAGGCTATCCGTTGAGCAGCACTTGCACTATATAAGACTCCAAAGCGGCTTTGGCGGTGTTACTATGAAGGATGAATGAGGCAGCTTTCAAGGAGGCACAGTCTATGGCAAATGGCAGCACTAAGTTTACCGTCTGCATCTATCTCGAACTGAGGGTGCTCTTCAAGCTTCGATCGGATGGGGGCTGTTTTGTGATGAATGTCTATGGTTGTTGATACTTTCTATGCTTTTTTTTATAGAATGTTCTTACAACATCTGTTCACTTTTTAGTTTGAAATTTTTTAACAGTTGGAGTGGGTCAGTTTAGTGAGTTTTATTATCTAGATTGAATTATTTCAGTTTAAATTTATATAACGAATATGCTAATGTGCTAATCTGCAGGCTGGTGTAATTGTTTAAAGTGTGTAAACTTTCATTGTTTTGGACTAGATATGTCATCATGTGTATCTACTGCCTATGAAATTGCTAGCTGCATTTGAATTCACCCTGTCAGCTAAGAATAACATTGAAACTGATTTTTGTTTTATTATTACTAAGCTTTAATCTCTTGGAACAAGTAAGGCTTGCTATTAAAATCAGCTCCAATCTGGACTACCAGCTGATAACATTTACTTTGTTATTATTATTATTTGATTAATTTTACTTTAATATTATTATTTTTATTCATTATATAAAATTGTTGACAGGATAATTTTAATAGAATGTAAATTTAACCAACTGTAGTAAAGAATAAGAATTGAGAAGTGTGTCATGTCATCGTATGGCACAGGAAACCGATATATGCCGACAGTGCCATCCAACAGACGAGTGACAGAAAAATCGACTGCTGTGTCATCTCCACTTTTGATCAACAACAACAGATCAGTCATGAATAACAAATTTTCCACATGTCCATCTGGTTCACTGCTTCACAGGTCGCCGTATTCGTCCAATCTCATGAAAAATGGCCTGCCTTCCTCCTACACCCACCAAGATGGTTTGTTCAAGTGTCGAATGAGAGATGGAATCAAAGATGGATATCAAAATAGGGATGTGCCTATAAAACCAACCTATCGGCCAGAATCTTTCATGATACAAACTCCTAACTACAGATGGAATCCAGAGACCAACTACAGGGCAAATAAGAACATCGCCGATGATGATGACAATAATATCTCTACTGATTTATTTTCAAAACTGAACATATCAAGTCCGAAGAACTTAAAAAAGAGCTCCAGTCATCAGGACATGTTGGCATCATCCTCATTGCCTGGCAGACACATGCCAGCAAGTGCAAACACCACTTATGCCAACAATGCAGCAAATGATTACAAATCTGCCACTGGAACATTTGCAAATCGTCTCCACATGCAACAGCAGCAGCAACCTCAACGTCGAGCATCCATCACACGGACCCACAACTTTCTATCAACTTCCTCATCATCCAGGTACAACAGCAACATCATCAGCAATGGAGGAGGCAACAACAAACCCGATAACAATGTCTTCTCGATTGTTGATAAATTCAATAAGCGCAACCTTCAACAACAGCAGCAGCAGCTACCACAGCCGCAACAGCAACTACATAACTCTCGCATGAAGAGCAAATTTAAATGTACGACAACCAATGTAACAGCAGATGATTCAGACCACAGTAGCAACAGCAAATGTCCCGACCCATCCCCTCCCAACTCGAACACTGCGTCACCCAACAACAACACCAACAACTTCACTGTTAGTTTGTTTGATTGTTTTCACTTAAAATTTTATAAAGTAATAAGAAGAATAAATAATGTCTATATTTTTTTTTATTTTGCAAAAAATTTTTTGTGAGGCATTTAAATAATTGTTCTTGGTCTGAGACAGTTGTTCTCAATTATTTCATCCTGCTCTGGACCCCTGAAGTAATGAATGTCAAGCTTAACAGTTAATGAGTTTGGTCAATTCATGAGTAGTATAATTTAATAGTTGATAGTTTTTAGTAAGGTTTTGATGCCCCATGCTGATAGCCACACCTGTTTTTGGTGGGTTGGGGTTGAGAAACAAATATCTGTGACCTCATTTCAGTCTCACTAAACACACGTGCAACGTTCTAATTTGACACTGGCAAAATAGACTGTGAGAATACGCCCTACCCTCGGGGAACTGGGTCTCTGGACGCTAAACGAAGATTGATTGATTGATAGAATAGACTGCGAGCTTTATTGTGCTTTCCTCAGCCAACTCCAGCATCTTTTACAATAGAAACTCACTTAGGAAAGTGCAGGAACAAATGATTTTTAACTTTAAAAAATAAAAATGAGAAATTATCATCATCAACAATATTATTATTAGTTTCAACATTATCATCATCATTATCATCAACATTATCATATCGATAATGTTCGCTTCATCTCCAATGCGTCATCATCTTCATCATCCCAACTAATACATTGAATGTTGCAGAAAAAATACATCAACAAAGGGAAAACTGGTCTCCAGAACATCGGCAATACAGTTAGTTGGTGATGGTGGTGGTGATGGTGGTGGTGGTGGTGGGGGAGTACGTTGATATGATGGTGATAATAATGGTTATGCTGTTGCTGAAGTTGTTGAGAATAAAAATGATGATGGTTGGAATGATGATGATGATGGCAGGTTAGACGATGATGATGATGATAAGTAGAAGTATGATGGTGATAATAATTTTTTTTATTAGATGTTATTCAGTGGTTATGAGAAAGATGATGAGGATGGTGAGAATAATGGAGCAATTAATTGTTATGATAGCGTATTCCACCTTATATTTCTATTTGCCATTTAACCATCTGATGTGATCATCATTATTTTGGTCGTCATCATTGTAATCATCGTCATTGTCATCATTACCATCCTCATTGTAGTCATCATCATCATTATCATCGATTCATTGATTATTATTATTATATAAATAATGAATGAATACAATTAAGTCAAAGATTAAATGACTAATAAATGAATAAATGATCAAGTGAATGTGTGAATGAATGAATGAATGAATGAATGAATGAATGAATGAATGAATGAATGAATGAATGAATGAACACCTTAGTTATAAAAGGGATTGGATGAATCAGCAAAAGAATGAATGAATGAATGAACAAATTATTAATTGATGAATTAATTAACACATAGTAATTAAATGAACAATTGGATGAATATATGAATGAACACACTATAGGAAGAAGTGATTGATTGAATGAATGAATGAATAAATAAATGAAACAATGAATGAATCAATGAGTTAAGGTTGTTTAATAATTTTTTTCACATAGGAATTTACTACTTGATTACGTTAGATAATTTTTTTTTCTTATTTTTTTTCTTCAAAAATTTCCAACTTACCCACTCGTCTTTTTTTATATTTTTTCTTATTTTGAGAGTTTTGCACGGAAGAATCTCATTCTCAAACATGGAACACTTTGTAAAAATTGCTTTCATAACTTTACCAAAGACCGATAATGTGGATTCACAAATTTTGTGTATTCGTTTGCCACACATTTTCGCTTTTTACTATTTCTTATAAGACTAATAACATTTTAATGTATATTTTTATTCATTTCTCACTTTATTTTTACTAAATTCTTTAAATTTTATCAATGTTTAACTCTGAACGTTTTTAAATTAAAAAAAAAATCTTTTTAAAATAACTATTTTAGAGAATTCATGTAATCACAAATAACTTTCAGCTTGACTGGTTAAGGTTAGATTAACTGTAAATCACTAATAAAATCAAAAACATTTTTCCAATTACAGACCGAAAAAGAAAAATAATTCTTGTGAAAATAATAATAAATTCTTGATAAAAAATAGATTATATAGCCCCTTCAGTGATGTTGAAGTGTCTTAGAATCGTAATTTTAAATGGTTTTTGTTGATTTTGCTAATGTTAATTTTTTCTGGTAATTTTTATTGAGAAATTTTTAAAATTTCTCGAAATTTTCTAAATTTCTCTCAGTTTTTAAAATTGAAAAATTTATAATATAAAGTAAGTGTACCGTAAATAGTTGACACAAGCGGCTGGTACCTCCGTTATAACCATTTGGGCAGAGAGGCTTAATTATAGTTAAGTGAGATGAACAATTTAGAGGTTAGCAAAAATTGGATGTCCATTCTGGCCGTGAATGTGTTGTTGTTTGTACGTGCATATATTTCTTCACGTTTTGTTTTCAATTCGTCTCTCTATGTATGGAGCATACTTCCAGCTACATTTGTAATGCTTGCATCATCAGCATTTGGTTACCTCACAGATCTTTAGCATGCATGGAGTGTAATGCGTTAGATTTATTTTTCAACCGCCGTAACAATAATAATGAATGCCAACCTCAAATTAAGAACTCGTTGAGTTGTGGTTCAGTTGGTTGATTCATCATTAATGAGAGCTCGTTCCTGTTTTTCTGGTTGCATGCATTAAAATGATGATGATAGTGATGGCAATGATGGTGATGTAAGAATAATAAAGATGATGATAATGATTATGAATCTTTTCTAGACTGTTTAGATGTAGATGATGGTGAGTGAGTAAATGAATTTTCTAGCTGGTTGTGTTAAGAACTAGGGTTGTTAACGCTACCATAAAAAAGACCGCCACCATCGCTGCTGAAATGAAAAATAGCAACAAAATCGCTACCGCTACTTTTTCGAACAATTATATCAAAAGTGTTGTAAAAATATTTTTCACATTTTCCATTTTGATTGAAATCTTCTATTTTATGGTTAGTGCGTTAAAAGTTGTATCGTTTTATTAAAACGTTCGCTGTTTCTTAAAATAATATCACATTGATTTTGATATTCTAAATTAAAATTTGTATATTTTATACTGAAAAAAGCAGTTTTTAACATTTTAAGCCTGTATTCGTCCGAATTGGTTAAACACCTATCAACACTAACACGTGTTACAACCATATAAAACATTCACGCGTTAGAGTTGAAACCACGGATTTTCGACGGAATAAAATTAAAAACAAACCACATATAAGTTGCAAAGTAAAGAACAAAAATAAAGCAATAAACAGATATAGAAACAAAACTGCCATTTAATCTCGGTTTCTTTTTTTGGAAGATTATTAATTATTATGCACGATCCAATAAGAAAAAATGCTCGTTTCAAAAGTAGCGGTAGCTGTTTTATTTTAGCTTTAAAAGAAGCGCCACCACCAATAAATATCGCTACCGTCCAAATGACCTAGCGGCTACTCTGCCAACCACAATTAATACGGCACAATACGATACGATATATTTTTATTTCCTTTGGCAAAAAATTAAGAAGACTATTTTGAAGTTATCGAGTAACTTATAGACCATAGCCACCTTATAAAATGTTAACAGCGTAATTGAATATAAGGTTTACAGAAAATTCATCGTGGAAAATTCATCGTGGGAAAATTTATCGTGGAAAATTCATCGCGGGAAAATTCATCGTGGGGTAAAATTCATCGTGGGGTAAAATTCATCGTGGGGTAAAATTCATCGTGGAAAAATTCATCGTGGTGGGGTAAAATTCACCATGGAGTGAAATTCATCGTATATATCGTATATAACATATAACGTATATAATATATACGTATAATATACAAAGTATACTGTATTGGAGGTTATATCAATAGGCAACGTATAGCATCCATGCTTATTAATACTATCATTTGTATACCCTTAGTATGGTATAGAAAATATATACAAAGGTGGACCGCGGACGTCGGACGTGTCTGAGTAAGTTAAGTAAAAGTCTATAATAAAATACTGTATGTGAAGTGTGTCAGAAATGAGGAAGTAGTTTTTGCATCACGATTCGCTAATTTTTGTGTAAAAATGTCACTAGAATTCGTGTACAGTGAAAAAGGAAAAAGAAAATTAATTGACTCAGGTCACTTGTTCGTAAAAGATGCGGCTACAGAAGAAAAACTTTCTGGAAATGTGATCAATAT